CCCGCAGCTCCTCCGAGTTTGCCTCCGCCAGCAGACCCGCCTCCGTTGCTGCCCCCGCTACCGCCAGCCGCTCCCCCTCCTTGACCTCCAGCAGCAGAACCCCCTCCTTCTCCTCCCCCTGCACCGCCTGCTGCGCCACCACCCTCGCCTCCACCAGCCGAGCCGCCGCCCTTCCCTCCTCCTGTTCCTCCAGCAGCGCCGCCGCCTCTCCCTCCGCCTGCTGCTCCACCTGCACCAGCGACCCCTGTGCCGGCAGCTGCACCACCGCCTTCGCCGCCCCCTGCAGCTCCTCCGATGGCGTCTGGATCTGGGACTTTAGTACGAGGTAGGTCGTCTCGACTTTGGCCTATCTGCCGACTCCGAAGGCGTCGATCTGGTGAGTCCTCTTCACTGTCATCCTCGTCTTCATGTCTATGCTTTCGGTGTCTTCCAGATCCCCTGTGCCTAGACTCCCTGTCGTCATCGTTATCTTCATCGTCGTCTTCATCTTCGTCTTCGTCTTCGTCTTCGTCCTCATCCTGGTGCGCGTGCTTATTGGCATGATGTCTGTGTCGTGCAGTTGGCTCGTCCTCTTCATCGTCGAAGGCTCCATCATCTGGTGGGGTAGGTGGCGGCGGCTCACTGGCACCGCCTCCCACAGATCCACCTCCTGTACCCCCTCCTGAGCCTCCCCCGTTCGCACCTCCTACCGCACCACCGCCCGTACCACCTCCTGCTGCACCACTTGCAACTTTATCCGAGCCTGCACCACCTACAGCACCGCCGCCCGTGCTACCTGGAAGTTGAGGAATCGGTTAGAGCTCGTCACAAACAATTGGGGGTCAATGTTCACGTGTGGAACATACCACCGGCGCCACCACCGTTGCCACCACCTACATTACCGCCTCCAGTTCCACCACCCGCGCCACCACCTCGAACCTTTCGGCCACCAGCACCTCCAACCGCGCCGCCGCCAGTACTGCCACCAGCGCCACCACCACCTGCGCCTCCGGCAGAACCCCCGCCCGTGCCACCTCCAGCCGCCCCGCCGAGGAACTGGCGAGCACGTAGGGCTGATATCATCTGCGATGTAGCTTCAGACTTTGGGAGGTCGTCGTTTGTCCATGACCACGGTTGCTTCTTGAGGGCAAGTTCGTGGGCGAGGGTGCTAGGCAGATCACCTGGCCCGGCAACATTGCCTCGAAGCTGGGCGTCTTGCTTGGCAGCGTCGTCCGCAGCAGCGTCTCCAGGAGGCCGGCTGGACTCGACATCATCAAGCGAGTTGGGAGTTGTCGGGATGTTTGGGACTTGCATAATATTGACCTTCTGAAGTTGCGCGTGATGGCTGTCTGGGGTCTCAGATGCATCCAGGGGCACAATGTCGGCAATTGGGCGACTTTCATTCAGCGGATCAGGCGTCTGCTGAGTGGATGGATCTTGTGGAACCCTCACAACCTCGATGATTTTCGGCTTCACGTGCTGCGGAATTTTGGGAACTTCCGGAGTAGTGGCGACATCGGTGATTGGGATATGCATCGGCTCTGTGGCTGGCATATCGGGCTTCTTGACTGCTGTGTTTTCATTTTTTGGAGCTCCAGCGGCAGCCAAGGATACAGCCTCGCTGACTGACTCACCAAGCTGATTAGGCATCAGTTGCGCAGTGGCAGGAATGTCTGGGACTTCTGGGGCTTCAACAGCAGTGGCGTCACTCGACTCTGCTCGCTGTGGGTTGTTCGGCGCTCCAGGAGCATCCAAAGCTTCAGCATCAGGGACCAGACAGCCCGCAGCGTCGAGAGTAGTCGATGCATCAAGATTGGGGATCGCGACCGAGTCGATAGGCGCGATCTGTGGACATTGGGCGAGATCGCCAGCGACCTGAGATGTGGCATCTTGCCTTGAATGCAAAGGGACCTTCAGCGATCTCTCGGCCTGGGGCCACGTCAGTATTGCAGTCCATGACGAGGTCGAGACGAGGCGGAAGGATGAACTTACGATCGTGACGGGAGCGGCAAACGTAACAGAGCCGAGAGTGACAAGGAGGCTGGTAGTGAAGAGCATGCGATGCATCTTGCAAGCTTCCTGCGGAGCGTTGATATGCGGAGAAAGAGTGACTGATCCGCAAAAGCTTCCTTTCCGGCCTACGGTCTCCAGGAAGACGAGTGACTGCTCAAGATGAGCACCTTTGTTGCTGAGGCCGCATTAGATCTCGCGAGCAGCGCTTTATATATGCTATGTTGCTTGGTTTCGCAGTCATTGTCCTGCGCACGGTACGCATAGTTTAATTACCGTGATATTGATCGACAGTAACTTGTCCAATGGCTCTGCTGCATTGTACTCCTGGCACAGATACCTGCGCTCTTGTCACCAATTTTACTCCAATTCATCGTTGAACAGCCATGTACTTGTCATGGCTGGGTCATGCTACCGTATTGGGTGTTTGCTTCACGGCAAGAAGTTGCAGGCGGCCGCATCAAATTCCAAGTACAGGACCAGGTGTTGCAGACCCAGACTTCTGATTCCGCATACTTTCCGCGATCGGAATGTTCTTCCTGTGTGACTGATATCTCAAAGGACACGTACGGCATGGGTCTCGAGATCGTGAGCTTTCTTCTGCATAAATTATTGCTCGAAACAGGTACCCTGACGAGCACGACTGAGCCTGCCCGATCAGGTGCGTGCTCAGAGAAGAACGCCTCCCTGATATTTTCGTTGGTGGGCCAGTGGGTCTCAAGGGTCGATAGTCATTAAACACTCATGGACGCGGTGTAGCGCTTGCATACTGGGAACGAAGCCTGTGATGGAGAACAGAGTTCGATATACTAGTCCTCTGGGTGGCGATTCGTGTTACTTGTCCAGCGCGATCCATTCCCGCCAGCAGTTGACTTCCGATCTGGCATGGGACAGTGCTCACCGCGAGGATTCAGCGGGATCTGCTTGGTATCGGAATCTGGACGATACCAGTTTGCCACAGCTACGTACCAGAACCGAGCAATGTCAACCGTGGACGATGTTCGTAAGACTCTGTCTTCCTTGAAGGTGCTGCGTCTATCGACCTCGAATGTCGACCATGAGAGGCGAAGGATGGAGGGCGAAGAGGAACAGCAAGGAACAGCAGTCGGCTCAGACTGCCAGATTGCACATTCTTGCATGTATCACGAGGCTTATACTCCAGTTCCCCGGGCACAGCCAACAGGAAGATCTTGTCGCCGTATGACTCGCCTCGCCCACCAACCGGCGACAGCGCCAGGAAGAACAGCACGGGTGTGATAGTAGCGATCTCTCCGTCCTAGCCCATTCCATTGAGCGTCGTCTCAGGATCGAAAGGCGCCTTCTAGGCACAGCAAAAGCATGTGTTGGGGGCAGTCATTGTCGCAGACTTGTTCCCGAGCCGTCATCAGAATAGTTGTGACAGAGCAACCTGGGAAAGGCGGAGATGGATCCGATATACGCGCCGACTCCGGTTTTATGTTGACGGAGACAGCGAAATAGCACTGTTGTGCCGATGAAATGGGTGTCACTCTGGTTTTGCGGACCATTGATGGCGCTCTACACAGTATTGCAGTAAGAGCGGATCTGAAGACATGGTGATGAAGGTAGTGGCGGTAAGAAGTGAAGTGCACACAAGGAAGAAGGGTCCTACGCTTGGCGCAATGCCACCCCTGTCTAGCGCGATCGCTGCAAGTCGCTACTCCGGTGACGACGGAAGGGACTTCAAGGAGCCCTACATGTAGCGCCATTTCAGCAGCTGTCATGCTGGTTCACAATCTCCAGAGTGCCGCGTTGCGGAGAGCTGCTTGGCTTTGAGGGCCTGGACCTCCACGATAACGCTACTGCTGCTCCGCATCCAGGCAGTACGCTGAGAGACTGAGGACCAAGCACGGAGCTTGCACCGACAACATGGCCCTGCTGTCAGCTGCAATCACTCGAGTGACGCAGTCTGCTCCCTGGCAAATGACTTCCTGAGAGAGACGCCACCGTCGACCACAGGGCTTATGGCTTGTAAGCACATGGCCGGCGCATGAGTCAATTATGCTTTGATGAGCCAGCCTCAGAAGAGTTCGCACTTCGTCTGGACCATGATATACATGTGACCAGACTCACTGTGAACATGTAGTAAGCATGGGCGATGTTCAGCTCAACGTACTGGGTACCCCAACGTACTGGGTATCGAGATACCAGAGTATTGTTGCCCACACTAAATGATGTGCACAGGTGTGGGACGGAATGGCGCATCTTCTTTCAGGCCTTTGGCCCCAAGTCGCAAGGAAAAGCGAGAGCTCCCGGAGCTCTTAAGCCAACATTATCGGACCATCTGCTGCTCATTGTACAGCAGTCACCAAAAAGAGTCTACGGAGACTCCGAACGATTGTGGAGAACCACGCAACATGCCCCCTCAACGCACCATCAGAGCGAGCGGAAAGGCGAAGGCGCGCGATGGCATCTTTGGACAGCAATATTTCAAGAAGCCACCAAGGGCAGACCACTCTGGAACGTTGCGCGATGTCGAGTTTGAGTCCGCCAACAACGCCAGGCCATCAGCATCCACAGCATTGATCCCTTCGCCGACTGACTCTGCTCTGGCAGTAGAGGACTGCGAGATCTGCGAACAGCATGCGTCGCAGGCCTGTCGGCACGATGAGATGGCGGGAGACTCCAACGATCTGCGCGAGATTCTGGACAGTGGGCGAGCGTACAGAGTCAGCACCGATCTCAAGCTTGCTGACACGCAGACAACTTCACGAGACATTTTCACGTATAGCACAGCCAGCAGTGTCAACCTGCAAGACGGAATCAAGGAGTTGCAACAGCTGGTGGGGCAAATTGCAGTCGTCTCTGAACGTACCAATCACATCGAGGAAACAGTCGACGGAGACTATGGCGTGGGTCAGATTTGGGGCATAGTCGACGACATACAAGAAAGGATCGTCGTTCTTGACAACGAAGTCGCCCGCGAAGCCTTATTGGAGGATGCCATAGACGCCGTGCAGATTGTCGAAGGGAAATTGGACAGCCTACAGGCGGATCTCGCTGTGGACCGGGACGTCTTAGCGGCCAGAATTGCTCAGTTGGAGGTCAGAATGGTGCAGCTAATACACTTGCTCCAACCTGGAACGCCACTTGCTAGACTGCCGTTCTAGCTTCTGTAATATAGGCAGTACTAACATCATTTTTGCGACTGTCAATGATGTTGGTGACAATACTGGCGTGGATTTTGAGGCTTGAGGTCCATACGAACACGTGATAGTCAACCAGATACAAATGCATACGCGGGCCACTGTCATGCGCGAGTCAGGCGGCGGAACTTGGGTCTTGGCATCCTGGGCTTCACTTTCACTTTCACCTCCACAGCACTTCCTGCCTCACAAGCAACACCGCTCATAGGGAAGGCAGAGTCCGCGAATGAGCCCGTAGGCGTAGACGTCCGCGTCAGCGTAAGTGCCGTCTCTGTTCGCGCTTTCCGCTTCTCGTCATCACGCCCACAGCTTCCACAATGGACGACCATGAGCCTGAGATTGAGCGGGACGACGAGCTACAGAAATTTTTGGGCACAACGTCCTTCGGGAAGCAATCGCGAGAGGCGAATGTGCAGAAACAGGTGGATCTGAGCAAGCGACCGGTCAATGTTGGCGCACCACAACAGCGTATTGGCGCTGCGAAAGACTCCGATGATGAGAAAGATGATGATTCGGACGACGACGACGATGACGATAGCGACGATGAGGATGATGAATACCCTGTCTCGCATGAGATGATCCTCAAGACACACGAACGCGCGGTGACAGCAGCGACGATTGATCCATCGGGAGGACGTCTGATCACTGGATCCATGGACTGCACGCTCAAGTTCCACGACTTCGCGTCCATGACGCCCACCACAATACGCGCGTTCAAGTCAGTCGACCCCAATGTCTCGAAGAGCTCGGCCAACGTCGAGAATCATCCTGTCAGTCAGGTGGTGTTCAGCCCACTCTCAGCAGGCCACGTCTTGGTTGCGACAGCACTTCCACAAGCGAAGATTTTGAGCAGAGATGGAGAGATAATATGCGAGTTCACGAAAGGCGACATGTATTTGCGCGATATGCACAACACCAAGGGTCATATCAGCGAAGTGACGACGGGATGCTGGCATCCTACAGATCGGAGTTTGTGCGTCACGGCGGGAACGGATAGCACGCTTCGTATTTGGGACATCAACAACCCACGACAGCAGAAGGAGGTCATCGTGCACAAGTCGAGAGCTGCGGGCTCAGCAGGACGCACGAGAATGACAGCTGTGGCATGGGGTTCGCCGATGCAGGGAGGCAACAATCTGCTAGTCGGTGCCGCGCTGGATGGATCACTGGTGATGTGGAGTGGCGAGGGACCTCATACCCGGCCAGCGGCAGAGATCAGAGACGCACATAAACCCGACACATGGACGAGTGGGCTTGACATCGACTCGGCCGGCCGCATGGTCGTCACGCGAGGCGGCGATGATACTATCAAGTTGTGGGATACGCGCAAATTCAAGCAGCCTGTCGCCACCATTTCTCACACCTCGACATCGTCTCAATACGCCACGACGAACATTCGCTTCTCTCCGACATCGACCAGTATCCTGACCGGATCACAAGAAGGCAACCTACACATCCTCAACCCCGGCACTCTCAAATCGGAACTCGTTACTCCAGTCACGCCAGGATCTCCTCTCATCACGGTCCTGTGGCATCCCAAACTGAACCAGATCGTGACCGGGTCTGCGAATGCAGAAACTCACATCCTCTACAACCCGAACACCTCCACCGCAGGCGCCAAAACCGTCATGTCTCGTGCGCCCAAGCGTCGCCACATTGACGATGACCCGAATTTCACCACGGACCTTTCATCTGGCATTTCTGGCGATGCCATCATCACACCCGGTGGTGCTGCCCTTCCGAGTGCCGCATCTTTTGCTGCTCGTCACCCCAACGTAGGCCTCACAGCTTCCGGCCGCTCTCGTGATCCTCGACGTCCTCATATTCCTCAAAAGACGCCTTTTGCCAAAGGTAATCCTGACGAAGAGTACATTAAGAGTCAAATCCCGCTCAGCAGTCTGCGAGACGAGGATCCGCGAGAGGCGCTGTTGAAGTATGCGGACAAAGCGAAGAATGATACCATGTTCACGAATGCGTGGAAGACGACGCAACCGCAAACGATTTATCGGGAACTTAGCGATGATGAGGAGGATGAGGGGCCAGAGAAGAAGAAGGTCAAGCAGTAGGCGCAAACATCGGATGAATGTGAAAGATACAAAAATTAAAGCGATAAAATCAATCACCAATTGAGCACTTTTACAGGTCGGAGCTTCAAGTTGTGAACCGTGAACAGCACACAACGACAGACTTGAAGCCTGCAGCCTGCGTTCCCTTGCGATCGCGCAGTGCCTGGAAGGTAATACCGTCATCGCCGCTCTCTGATGCTTCATCGCCTCGCCATCCTTGCGTATAAGTAGCCGCTCTGCGTTCACTCCGCGAGTTGCTGCCAGGCCGTCCCATCGAAGCTCAATCCACCTCGCTCCCTGTAAAATTCGTTGTTCATCCCGAAGTCTCTCTCACGGTCCCTTGACTACCCCTTCTTCCTTCCAAGATGCCCCCATTTGTGTCTGCTGTCATTATGCGCGCTCCAACAAGTCTCGGTATGGGAGAAAAAGTTCGGCACGCCTTCAAAGACTTCGCCGCAGTATTTGCACCAATGCGGCTGAGTACCATACTGATCTAGGTCAATTTGTCCTTGGATCTTGTGAGCGGTGAGAGCTTCTCTTGATTCGAAGAAAGCTCCGCATTTTTCTTTGCGACAGATGTGTTGGGGTTTTGGCTCGGGCATGGTTTCTTGATTTTGAGTGTTTTCGAGAGGGGTGATGAGTTGTGCTGGTGGGGGACTTACTCGTTGCGTTGGTTTGGGATGGAAGATAAACCTGAGGAGAGGCCGGCGAGTGGTGAGTGAGGGAAAGTGACAGGTCGAGCTGTGACGAGTCAATGAGCGGAACAGAAGATGGTCAAAATGAGGAACGGTGAAAGAGTTGATGTGCTTGAACGGATGCCTCAAGGACGAATGATGTCGCGTGGTGCTATATCGTCGGAATGGGACAAGGCACTCCGTCGAATGATAACACAGGCCTTTTTTCTTTGAGTATCACGTGCGTTCAGCGTGGGATGTTTGTGCCATAGATGCGGTTCAAACTGGAATCTTCCAGCATTGGGTCGTGCAACGCCTTGTCCTGCTTTTGATCATCGTGTCGTCGTTGGGCATGTTTGACGCAAAGGGATAAGACTAAAGCTGCCTGAGACATCGGAACAAAAATATGTGCTGTCGGTCAAAACCAAGGCGTTGTACTGAGCCGCCAGTTGGTTTTGTGGTACCAGTTGGGAATCCAGCAGTTGGTTTTCTCGTGCAAAGCTGCCTTGCCAGGGGCCATCATTGTTAGTGAAGCGCTGTCTCGAAAGAAAAGGGGATGTTCTGCAGCTCTTCATTCGCCTGCCATCTCGTGGATGGACTCGGCTTTGAAAGCTAACTTTGCCTCTGGACGTGATGTCCTCAGCGGTGTGTGTGAATCAACCTCTAAGTCTCCGAAGCTTTTTTCATCTTTGCCACATGATATTCATGATCTCATTCCTAGCGCTCGTCATCTATTTCTCGTAGATCCAGTCGTGCTGGGCCTGCTTCCAGCTCTGGATCTCCTCTGGCTTGAACCAAAGAGCAATTTCCTTCTGGGCGGACTCGACGGCATCGGAGCCGTGGCAGACGTTTCGGCCGACGTCCTGGAGCAAGACTCATTAGCAGGTGCATTTGGTGTTGAGTGAAAAAGCACGTACAATAGCGTAGTCACCACGGATGGTGCCTGGGCTGGAAGCAGCTGGGTTGGTGGCACCGAGGAGGACACGGCCGGTCTTGACGACATCACGTCCCTCCCAGATCATGGCGCAGATTGGGCCAGATCCCATGTCTAAGAGTTGTCAGCTATTGCTGCCTTGCCTCTATTCATGGAAATTGCATACAGGTGACCAAGCCCTTGAAGAAAGGCTTGGAGCTCAAGTCCTCGTAGTGCTTCTCGAGGTGCTCCTGGGATGGGGAGACGAGCTTGATGGCAGCGAGCTTGAAGCCACGCTTCTCAAAGCGGGAGATGATGTCTCCGATGAGTCCACGCTGGACACCATCTGGCTTGATAGCGATGAAGCTGGAGGAGTGTCAGATGCTGCACGCTGCCATTGGTTGCGGTGTGGACATACGTTTGCTCGTTGGCAGACATGGTGGCGGCTTCCTCTTGTCTGTGTTTGAGGACGGTGGTGAGGTGGGAACGGTCTCTGGGATTGAGGTGTTTGAAGATGGGCGGTTGTTGATCTCCAGACATTCAAGCTTCGAAATCTTTCCGCACACCGCCAGCAAAGTGGGCTGGAGGGGCAGCGCTATGCAGGGGAAACACGGTGGGAGTGTCAGAAGTCGTGGATGTCTTGGAACGATGTCGAAGGTGTGAGAGCAGTCGGGACAGATGCAGTGGCGAGAATCGGCGCAATGGAGACTACAAAAGGAGTCGAAGTGAAGTAAGCGTCGTTCGCACCTCCCTTTGAGGGCCGCAGAAAGGATGCAGCTGCCATTGTGATGTGCTGGTGTGTCACGACTTCCTGCTTCCCACATCGTACAGTACCTGCTTGGAGGCATCGGCATGGAGAAACCCCAAGCGCCGAGATGCTGGTGTTGTGAAGCGAACAGCTGGAGCACAACACACTCCTCCTGAACATTGTCTATTCCACCTATTCTGTCGCGTGTCCTACCACTGTTGTTCCGGGCGAGCAACGGCAGGGCGAACGGTATGAAGGGCTTCAATGCCTCGTGGCACGCCTGCTTGGTGCTGCTTCTAACCGCCTTCACTTTCATCACGCCGGCCGGTACGCTGCATAAACCAATTCCGTAGCGTCAATCGTCACAGCTAACCTCCAATCCCCAGTGAGCGTCAAACATGAAAACTTCAAGACCTGTGACCAGTCGGGCTTCTGCAAACGCAATCGATTGTACGCCGATACCGCCCTCGCTGCTTCCAAGTGGGAAGCTCCCTACTCTCTAGACCGATCGAGCATCAAATTCAACGATGGCCTGCTCACGGGCACTGTATACAAGAAACTGGCGCACAGTGACGAATCTGTTCGTCTTCCAATCAAAATTGCTTTCTACGAATCTGGAGTTGCTCGCGTGACCATCGACGAGGAGAAAAGGCAGAAGGGCCAAATTGAGCTTCGTCACGACAGCAAGATCCGCAAGGAGAGATACAACGAGGCGGAGTCATGGGTCATTGTTGGAGGCACCACCCCCAGCAAGGGTGCTGCACTTTCGAACGATGCAGCAAAGGGTACGACAAAGGTGGTCTACGGTCCAGCCAGCAAGTTCGAGGCCATCATCCAACACTCTCCCTTTGCCATCGAGTGGAAGCGCGATGGCGAGACTCAGGTCAACTTCAATGAACGTGGGTTGCTGAATGTGGAGCACTGGCGCAAGAAAGTGGACAAGCCAGAGCCAAAGGAAGGCGAGGAGGCCGCGGAGAAGAAGGACGACCACGCGGAAGATGAGAGCACCTGGTGGGACGAAGCTTTTGGCGGAAATACAGACACCAAACCACGCGGCCCTGAATCTGTCGCTTTAGACATCTCCTTCCCAGGATACGACCATGTCTACGGTTTGGCCGAGCATGCAAGCCCCCTCAGCCTCAGAGAGACTCGTGGCGGCGACGGCAAATACAAGGAGCCGTACAGGCTGTACAACAGCGACGTCTTCGAGTATGAGATGGACAGCCCCATGACACTGTATGGCTCGATTCCCCTTCTTCAGGCGCACAAGAAGGACTCCACAGTCGGCGTCTTCTGGCTGAACGCTGCCGAGACGTGGGTGGACATCACCAAACGCTCCAGCTTAGCCAACAAGGTCGGACTGGGCTCCGGTGCCAGCACTGACAGTCACTTCATCAGCGAGTCTGGCTTGCTCGATGTCTTCGTCTTCCTTGGTCCAACACCTCAAGACGTCGTGGGCGCCTACACCGAGCTCACTGGCACACAGCAACTTCCACAACACTTCTCCATCGCCTATCACCAATGTCGCTGGAACTATGTCACGGATGAAGATGTCAAAGATGTCGACAAGAAATTCGACAAGAACAACATTCCATACGATGTCATCTGGCTCGACATTGAATACACCGAAGGCAAGAAGTATTTCACCTGGGATCCGCTGACTTTCAAGGACCCTCTGAGCATGCAGAAGCAGCTCGACGAGCATGAGCGCAAGCTCGTTGCCATCATTGACCCGCACATCAAGAACGAGGCCAATTACCCAATCGTGGACGAACTCAAGTCGAAAGACCTCGCGGTTCACAACAAAGACGGCAACATCTACGAAGGTTGGTGCTGGCCAGGAAGCAGTCACTGGGTCGATTGTTTCAGCCCAGCTGCACGAAAGTGGTGGGCGGGCCTCTTCCAATACAGCAAATTCACCGGCTCGGCCAAGAACTTGTGGCTCTGGAACGATATGAATGAGCCTTCCGTCTTCAACGGACCAGAGACGACCATGCCGAAAGACAATGTCCATCACGGCAATTGGGAACATCGTGATGTGCATAACTTGAATGGTCTAACTCTCATCAACGCCACCTATGAAGGTCTGCTTGCTCGTGACAAGGAAGAGGCCAAGCACAACGTTCGACCATTCGTGCTTACCCGCTCATTCTTCTCCGGCAGCCAGCGACTTGGAGCAATGTGGACCGGTGACAACCAGGCCAACTGGGAACACCTCGAGGCCTCCATTCCTATGGTCCTGAGCATGGGTATCAGCGGATTCCCCTTCGCTGGTGCTGATGTTGGAGGTTTCTTCGGCAACCCAGAGAAGGACTTGCTCACCCGATGGTACCAAGCTGGTATCTGGTATCCTTTCTTCCGCGGCCATGCACACATCGACACCCGCCGTCGTGAGCCATACCTTGTAGGACAGCCATACCAGGAGATCATCACACAAGCCCTTCGTCTCCGCTACAGCTTGCTGCCCGCTTGGTACACAGCCTTCCACGAATCACACGTCTCTGGAGCTCCCATCGTTCGACCCAACTACTACGTCTTCCCTGGTGATGAGAAGGGCTTCGCCATTGATGATCAGCTCTACCTTGGTAGCACTGGTCTGCTTGCCAAGCCTGTTACCAAAGCCGAGCAGCCAGGGACAACCATCTACCTCGCAGACAAGGAGAAATACTACGATTACTTCGATTTCTGGACCTATGAAGGACCTGGCGAGGTCGCAGTCTCGTCGCCTCTTGAGACCATTCCTCTTTTGATGCAAGGTGGTCACATCATTCCTCGTCGCGACCGCCCTCGACGAAGCTCAGGTCTGATGAAGTATGATCCTTTGACGCTTGTCGTTGTCATCGGCTACGCTGGTGACGCGCAGGGAACGCTATACCTTGACGACGGAGAGTCGTTCGACTACAAAGATGGCGCTTACATCCATCGCAAGTTTCATTTCGATGGCAAGTCGCAGACTCTGACGTCCGAGGACCTGAACCACGGTGCAAGCAGCAAGAGCGCAAAAGCTTACTTCAAGACTATGGAGAGGGTGCGTGTCGAGAAGATTATCGTCCTGGGTGCGCCAGAATCGTGGAAAGGCAAGACCCAAGTGGAGGTCACTGAGTCGCATGCTGGCAAGTCGGAGCCTGCACGCCATGCGACGTTGGAATTCCACGCGAAGGATGACGGCAAGGCTCCTTGGGCTGTCCTGAAGAATCCTCAAGTCAAGATCCAGAGTGACTGGAAGATTACGTTTGGGGAAGCGACGACAGGAAAGACGGACCTGTAGGTAAAAACTATCATTCCGTATTGATAGAAATGCAACTGAATCTATGAAGATCCTACCAGTTGAGTGCTCATAGCAGCAAAAGCTGTTGTTCTGCTTCTTCATCTGTGCTCGAGTGCTTCTTCTTCTGCATCCTCTTTGCAAAAATCCCTATGAGGGCCTGACCAAGCGCAACAATCAGAAAGTCAAGCGTCATCCACCCTGACATTCGATACCATTCCCTGAGGCCGACAAAGACTCTCACGAAGAGCGTATTGTTCTCTTGCCACTCTGGATGGCTCTCCCACAGCCAAGATCCAGGATAGAATCTCCACAAAAGCGACAGACCTGCAAGGCTGAAAGCGAGGGATTGCAGGAACAGGCCTTTTGAGGTCAAAGCTCCTGGGTCGCCGAGCCGAGATTGAGATTGCAGTTTGAAGATTTGTCGAATTGGACCGAGGATGGCGGCAATTAGGACTATGGGATGCGCGTAGACGAGCGGTAGCACGAAGACTAGTTGGCCCCAATTATCTGCAGTGAAGCTTATGCAGATTGCTGGGAGGATCGTCGTCAGGAGGATGAATTGACGAATGACGATGGCCAGGGATTTGATCCAGAGTCGTTTGGGTGGGAGTGGGAACGTCTGGTAGAAGCTGAAATTACGAACGGAGGTTAGTTCGGCATTTCTTCCATGTTTATTTGCGAAGAGCGCAGAATGATCCAGCTTACTGCAGGCTGAATCCAAGGGCAGGTACTGCGAATTGAAGGAGATTGAAGAGTTCTCGCAGGTCAATGGAACGGCCGAGGAAGAACTGTTCGTAGTCCTCGACGCCAGAGGATCCTATGCTTGCTATGATCATGGCAAGCATGTAGTTCGTGATGTAAAGGTTTGCGAGGAGATATGTTAGGGAGATGCCATCGCAGTCTTTGCGCGCTTGGGTTGCTCGATATTGTGGTATGAATGATGCTATAGTGAGGATGAGGAGAGCGCTGTGGAATATCGACTTAGTTCGCATTTAGCGGCGGTCGAAGAATGAGAATGTACTCACAGCCTGACGACGGCATCCGGGACGGCCAGTAGTCCCATATTCGAGTGCAGCGAGCAGAATAGGGCTCGTATGCTGGGGGAAGTAGCTGCTACTCATGCCTTCAACGCAGTCACGTGCCTTAGCCGCCGTTGGTGGCACAGCCTTGTCTCATGCCGCTGAACTGACATTGGCGCCGAGCAGACCGCACGCTGCATGCTCTTGTGCGAAATACTGTGGCCATTCATTTTGGAAGCGCTGCATGATCATGGTCGAAGCTGTAGAATCGTGTGCGCAGCCGCCGAGCGAAGTGATTCACTCTTTGATCGCCTTTCCAGCTCGCCAAAAAGTCAATCATAGCAATGTTTCGTTCTCGCTGTGCCTCATATCGTGGCGCCTCATCGTCCACAATATCTGCTGGCATATTCGCCCACTCCCTCAATCGCTTGACTTCTCTTTCATGGGCTATCTGTAACCCAGCTTTCACGTCCGCACCGTAGCCCAGACAGACTTTAGCACAATCGACATTGCCTCTCTTGACGGCATGGCGCAGCGCAAGCGTAGGGTCGGCACCTGCGTCCAAGAGTGGTGCAAGTGCAGGCAAGAAGCCTTCGAAAAGCGCGTCACCCATGGCTTTAGAAGTCGGCAAATGACCCGTCGCTCCACACCGATCTGGATCAGCGCCTCTTTTGAGCAGTGCCTCAACGACGGCCAGGTTCTTGTAATATATGGCACTACACAATGGCGTGCCGGAATCAGGTGAATCGTGGAAGAAGTTACGTAGATCATCAGTGTCGGCATGAATGTCCATGTCATATACGTCCAGGAGATGCGAGAGTATTGTGACTGCGCTTTCCGGGACCTTGCACTTGGATGTGTAGTGCAAAGCTAGACTTCTGGCTGGTTCTGCGCCTCTCGAGACCAGATGATCGAATAGCTCAACGTCTGCATTCGCCGCCGAACCATTGAGAATTTTGATCGAGTTGTCGTAGCCGCCGGGGTAGAGTGCCAGACCATCTGCGGTCCGTGCTGTCTCGATTTTCTTGACGTCGACACCGTGGTCAAGTAGCAGATCAAGTACCTGTCGGTCGCCAGCGAAATCTCTGCCAGGACTCAGCGGTGTTCATCGGATGCGCAGAACGTATTCGACGAACTGCAGAATGGTGTGGCCAGTCTTTGCGACATCGTAGCCGAATTCAAGCAACAATATCAGCAGATCCCGCGATTGCACGTCTCGCAAGTCAATCTCGTTCGCATCCGCTCCGTAGTGAAGCAGACATCTCAGGATGTCGAGGTTGTCGAGCGAACAATCCAGCAGCGCAGAAGCTTCGCTCTTCTCGACACGTTCCATGGCAAGGAGCCGCTGCACTTTCACAAGTTCATCATTGCTGCAGGCTCCTCGCAGCTCCTGGAGATGCGCTTCGTGCTCTGGATGCTGTGCCATCGTGCCTCCCTGGAGACTGGGAAACTATTTGGTCGTGCTATTGTGGAGCCACTACGGGCTCACACGCCTCTGGCATCTTTGATGAAGCACATGAGCGGCGCAGACACGGCCTTTTTCGCTCTCTGTTTCGGTAGCCGCCCATGTATCGATGATCTTCAAGCAGGCGTCAAGCGTCGTTTTAATGCCAAGATGGTTGTTCCGGCTCCATACGCGTAGCTAATCAGATGGAAAGCGCAAGCAGCACGAACTTAGCATCTAGAGTTGATCCCTATGAGTATACGCTGGACTTCAGCGGTCTCTGCTCGATGGAGCAAGAGCTGAGCTGTTTCAGCTTGACGGCAGGCACTTCTCAGCTGATCTTTCCAAATGCTGATGACTTGGCCATTGGCAGAGGAGTGCCCTTGCAGGTATCGATGGATTGTATCTGCCTTCGTGGAGAGCGTGTACCGTATGTACTGAGTACAACTCTCCCAGATCCAGATGCATTCGCGTGTTTTGGGAAATTGAAGCCGACGTCATGCTTGGCGTTCACCAAATCTCTGAACGTCGCTCTGTGCTCGCTTCTTTTTTCTATGCTTCAAGATCTCGACCCTCACGGAACAAGCCTCCATCCATACGCAAAGCCCCGTTCAAGCCCTTGCGACGTTCATCCCATGCGGTGTGCAGCAGACCCCATGGGGTAGCGTACATTTGGTCAGATTCCAAGACAATTTGGCCCCAGCAATCGAATCTAGACAACCACTTGTCGACAAGCATATAAAGCATATCGAAGCGGTTGGCATGCATTCCAAGCGAGATCTGACGTGCCTACCTTTTGGTATCCAGTCACGTCCATGGATCTTGCGTTAAAGCCGTGCATGTGGAAGCCCCCGCTAGCCTGTTCTGAGCAGGGCGGAGCGGTACGCGCTACAGAAGAACATCAACTACTATTTGCGGTAAGCGAGAGCGGTAAGCCACAACAGCAATCATTAAACTCCCCGAGACGATGAAGCATGGGACTGTGCATGGAGAAAGGGAACAACGTTTGTGGGGAAGAGAAGAGCTATGCTGAATTGGTTTGTCGCAAGCCATCAGCTCGCTAGCCCTAGCCATCTAGGTGAGGAGAAGTGATAGTTTTTCTGAACTTATAGTTCTCATGCTATCCTCTCGAAATCTTCAGTTTCCTTTTCTGCTTCCCTAGCACCGAAAAGCCATTGCTGAAGATGGATATCGATCACAAGTCCACAGATGCTAGCCGTGATGGCGATCATGTCGAGAGAGCTGCCCACGCATCTGGCAGCGACATCCGCGACCCTTCATATGTCGACCATCGCGCCGACGACGATCGAGCAGATGAGGCCAAGGGACGCAACTCCGACAAGATTGACAAGAGCTACTGGCTGTCTGTCAATTTCCTCGGAACCATGTTTGCCATTGGAATGGCCTTCATGGGAGGCATCGGTGGTGAGTACCTATTTAATAGCTTTACGTTGATGGCACAGCTGACGGGACTCTCCAGGTTACGGTTTGATCGCACCCGTCCTCACTCAGATCAACGAAGAACTCGGCCCGGACCCAAATATCAACTGGGTTCCACTGGTCAATCTTGCTGGCGGTGCCATCTTTTTCTTGATGGTCGGTCAACTTTCAGATATTTTCGGAAGACGATGGTTCTTCACCATCGGTTCAGTCATCGCACTGATCGGGTCCATCATCGGAGCCACCGCGCAGAACATCAACACACTCATCGGTGCGCAAGTTTCCATCGGTGTCGCAGTCGCGTTCCAGCAGTCTTTCTTCTGGGTCGTTGCAGAGATCGTGCCTTTGAAATGGCGCTACCTCGCAAACTCGTACTGCTATCTGATGACGACGCCAACGAGTCCTTTGGCCGCAAGAGTCGCATACAGCTTTCAGGGCTATCCCGGAGCATGGAGAAATAGCTTCTGGTTCCTCACAGCCATCAATGCTACCAGCGTCATTTCTTGGTACCCGTTCTACCACCCACCGACCTTCAGCATGTTGCACCGAAAGAAGCTGGCGAGGGATTTCCTTGTCAATTTTGACTGGATCGGTCTTGTTCTTTACAGCGGAGGTCTGTGTATCCTCATCTTCGGTCTCAACTGGGGAGGCCAGCTTTACCCATGGTCCTCTGGTCAAGTCGTCTCCACCATGGTTGTCGGTGGTATCACTCTATTCGGCCTCCTGCCTGCGTACGAAATTTTCATTTCCAAGAAGGGCAAGGAACCATATCTGCCACTCCACTTGTTCAAGAACATTCGCTTCCAGTCGGCTGCATGGAACACTGGTATTGGCGCTTGCGTGTACTATGGCGGTGCCATTGTCTTCCCACAAGTCGTCACAATCCTGTACCGGGGCAGAGGTCAAATCAGCGAGTACCACGTGGGAACTCTTGCTGGACTGATCAACATGGCTTTCGTCTTCGCACAGATGTGCCACGGATTCGTGGTCTACTTCTTCGGTCCAAAGTGGTCCATGATTGGATCTGCCATCATTGCGGCAGGCCTGATCACCGCTTGCGCGACCGATCTCAACAACAAGACGCTCACGCTCGGCCTGCTTATCCCAGGCTCTTTCGCCATTGGCATTGTCGAAGCCGTCTCGATCACAACATCCACCTTCCCTCTCCGCTCTCAGGAGGAAATCGGTCAAGGCGGTGGTTTGAGTGGCAGTATCCGTAACTTCACCTCTGCCATTGCCGTCGCTGTCTTTACTGCTACCCTCGGCAACCGTCTTGCTGTCACCATTCCAGCGAACGTCAATCCTGTCGCGACCGGTCTCGGGCTCCCTGAAGGCTCGCTGGTGGACCTCGCAGTGGCTGTGCAGGGCAGAGCACCATACGAATCGGTCGCAGGCATGACTCCAGAAATCCAGGCTGCCGTGCAAGAGCCTTTCCGACAGGCGTTCGCCCAAGCAGCCAGCACCGTCTTTCTCGTTACGCTCGCCTTCACCGGTACCGCCATCATCCTCGCGTGCTTCACGACCGAGAACGATCAAAGCACTGAGAACTATGTTGCCGGCAATCTACACACCATGAAGCAAGAGAAGGATTTTGGAAAGTCTGCTGAGACCGAGAAGAAGATTGAACAGAATTGATCGTTCGCGAATTTAGCGAAAATGTTAGGTATCTCGTCTACATTTAGAACATATATACCCAGATGAAGGGACGAATTTCACAAATACTTCCTACGCATGTTGGGCTCCTACTTCCACGTCTAATGTCACAATGCGATGATCTTGGCAATTGGAGACGTCCAGTCGCTGGAGATCAATAATTACCTGACTTGATGTTCCTCGTACTGCAGCGATTAGGGTTTGCTTCGAAAATATCGTGACACTGCGTGGACGCGAGGAACGTGCTCCAGAACCAAATCTCGACCCAAAGTCCGGTGCTTGTCCACGAAAATCGCGGAATACTATTTAGCCCTTGACTTTTTTTATTTAGCCCTTGACTTCGATACCACTAAAAAGCGACATCTTCGAGTGCTCCTAGAGCCCGACTCTAGGCCTGGCGGCCCGCTCGAGTACGCGCGACGCATCGACGGCAAGCCGTCTGCGCGCGTACGTCGCTCCTCGCTTTAGAAATAGAGGGTTGGGGGAGGTAATTCAGTGCAGAGTCCTTCGTAGTTCAAAGACACCGTATTCTGAGGCTGGCCTCAGGCTGAAAAACGCTCCCATCTAGGAAAGTCAAGGGCTAAATAAGAATGGTCAAGGGCTAAATAGTAACCCGCCGAAAATCCGGCCATTCCGTCATCCTCCCGCACAATCATCACTTCCTCATCTCCTAAGAAATATTCGACGGCATTCGCCATCTTCGCATACTTCAGACGACTCTAGGGCAGATCTGAATTCGGCGCGATGGCAGTCGATCTCCCAAGGTTGGGAAGAAGTGGCAGAAAGAAGCAAAAAGCCAAGTCGGCATCGTCACCACAACCGAGCTCGAAGCTGTGATCGACCATAGCAGTAGCGCGCGTGAGATCGCGTGCATTCTTCTTTCTGCGCCCTGACAGCAGCAGTAACAGCAGAAACTATGCCCCCAGACGTGCCAGACAAACCACCAGCGGCCGACATCCAACGAGGCGACTACACAGACGACCAGCTCGGATCTCTCGCCTTCTTCCTCTCCCGCCTTGTAGAGCCGTATCTCCAGTATCAAATCCTAGCTAATGGCTATGGGTCTTCACTCATCCGCCGTCTCGGAGGCACGCCTCTACCTCCAGGCCCTGCTCTAAGCACGCCGTCATTCATGGGCCGCCTCGGTCTCTCACCCTATCGTACCATTCTCTTCGGCATGTCTGTAGGAAGCATGGTGAAACAGAACTATTGGCTCACTGTGATTCGAAGAGAGCGCATGACACCAGCGCTAGGAGTAATGGTGGGCGTGCTCAACGCGGCCATGAATAGCTTGAACACTCTGTTATTTGTATGCGCGCAAACGAGCGCAAGCACGAATGGAGAGCACTTCCCTCAAACGCCTCTGCAGGTCGGAACTGCACTATACGTCTTAGGCCTCGGCATTGAATGGTTGAGCGAGGAGCAGAGACATGCATGGAAGAAGGACCCGAAGAACAAGGGAGAAGTGTATGGTGGTGGGCTATGGAGCTTGAGCAGACATATCAACTACTTCGGATACACACTTTGGCGGGCAGGCTACGCTCTTGCTGGTGGAGGCTGGGTGTGGGCTGGAACCGTGGCTGCAGTTTTCACTGCTCAATTCGTGATGGCGACAATTCCCGGTCACCAGAAGTACATGGAGGAGAAGGTGCGTGATTGCAATCGTCGGGCACTGCTGATGCTAATGTTCTGCAGTACGGCGAGAAGTTCAAGGCATACGAGCGGAGGACGCCTCACAAGTTTATCCCTTGGATCTATTGACAGGAGGAAGCCGCATGCCACGTACGTTGAATTTGTTGATGATACCCAGAAATTGCGCTACGAAACACATTATTGGGCTCGCAAACAGAGAGTTGTACGTATGGCCCGCATTTCGACATACTCGTTGCGCAGTAATACAAACAATGTACCAATCCCTGTTTGCGCGATTTGAAGTCGCATTCACTAAGGCATAGGCCTCCATATGGGCGGCACGTAAAGCGCGAGCCTTTGGCAGAAGAAGTCTCTCACATCGAATCAAACTGCTAGCGATCCAGCAGCTATGTCCTGTATCCAGACTCCTTGGACGATGGCCAAGCACAAGCTTGTGAATGGTCACTTAGGCGACACCACAGCTCAAAATGAATCCGACTGGCAACTCGATCATGTCAGTGCCTCAGAGGTCGCGGAGCGTTTCGTGGACCTCTCAGCCTTTGTCTACAAAGGCTATTGCACTGGAATCCTCATGATCGACTTGCCCATCTTCGAGACGATGAAGCATTTGTCCAACAGACTGTATTCCTATGCCTTCAGTCTGGTGGTCGAGAAATCTGTGAACTTCCTAACCCGCCCCGGGCAGAGCACAACACTTTCCGCAACTACCGCTGCTGAGAGCATGGGCCAGTTAGCTGCGTTTTTGCAGCGTAAAGCCAACGATCTCGATACGTGCGGTCTCTCGAGCGGCACCGAAGTCTCTCTCGCTATCGACCTGAGGTTTGCGGAGGAGTATACCGCATCGCTTCTCGGATCGAAGGTACAGGGAATTGGGATAGCACACCCGCTATCTGTTCGTCAAGATCATCCTGCTTCACAAACACCCATCATCGAAGCGGCTGGGCCAATGTCTGAGAACTCTGATGGGAAAGCGAAAAAGGCCCAGACAGCCCCCGAGCAGACCTCAGCACCACCAGCTCCCATCCGCCAGCCCGAGGTCGGAGAAGTAAGGAATGGCGAGCATGCGAAGCTACTACAAACGCTTTTGCATACGAACAGTGTGCCAGACTGTACAAATTGCCATACTGGCGAGCCAGCAAGTGTCAATGTTGGCCTCAAAACCCCTTCCCAAGCTGTGTCGACCTCAGCCGGCGGCTCCACAGCGCCAGTCGAACAGACTCATCCTCATGATCTTCGACCCACATCTCTCAATACTCATCACGCTCCGACTTCCCTTTCTGGGCCCCGTCTTCGGAGTCACATTGGTCTAGACGATTATGATGCTTTCGTCCAACATTGCTTCACTTCAACAAAGGTTCTGGATTCCGATGCGGATCCATGTACTATGACACAGATCGGACACAGCACGACTGAGCTCTTCCAGCCTCACCAATTTATTGACATCGCAGTGCTGGGCTTCGAAGGCATCAAAGCAGTCAAGCTGGTGCATCCGCTCTGCTCTCGGGAGGTGGAGTGTCTCAGCTTCGACGTGCTGAGGTACATTGACTATGTGCTGAGCGAATCAGATGCTGTCCGCAGCTTGACATGGACGAAGGATGCCCGCGAGAAGAGCGTGTTGGCCAGATGCGCGGAGAAGCAGAGTCTCTCAATGGTAGAGAAGGAATTAGCGGCCAGGAAATGGGAGCTTCATCGCGAAAGTCCAAAGGAGACGAATGCTGCTGCTCAGACGGGTCAGGCTGTTACGAGAGAGCGCCACGCTGCTTGTAATGGTGCAGTACAGAACGGAAAAGCCACCAGATGCCTCGAACAAATGAGTTACGCTAAAGCAGCTTCTTCTCAGGCTGTACCTGAACAGTCATTGTCGGACGACGTTGCACGACACAGCACAAACCAAGAAAGCCTTCCAAAATCATGCATTGACGACGAGGAACCTTCAGTCGAGTACTTACAAGCGCAATTCGCTAGTCTTGCAACTGGATCAACGGGGCCAGCCCGCTTGGATGACGATGCAACGACTTCCCTTCAAATGCCTACTTCAGCTCTTCAGGGCCCCAGATCTGACATTCAAGGTCCACATGAGGAGTTCTGCCAGTGCCGCGTGAAACTGGACAGGTTCAATGAGACTCTTCGGGCTCCAAAACCCTCGACGGATCCAAGTTCGAAGATTTCTCGGAGCATCACACTCGTGGAAGGGAAAAGGGACGTATCGTCTGCGGATCCACCGCCACTGATCGTATACACTGAGGCGCAGACTGGCGACAGATACGCTGTTGACGACGCTGGCAGACAGCCCCGGTCTATCGGCGAACGTCACGGCTTGTCTCTGGCCTCGACGGCTGTTCCTCCACCGAGGCTGAGAAGCTCCAGAGGTCGAAAGCGGATAGGTGAAGAAACCGACAATTGCTTGGGACTAGAGCAACTCCTTGTAAACGGATGTTCTACCACCAGCAGAGGGGATTTCGAGGCTGAAGTGTTACACAGATTCCTCGCTAGGAATGCCTGAATCTCCAGGAGTGCGGAAAAACTGCCTTGAATTCAAGTCTGTTCTTCTCTCAGCATATGTGAAAAAATGTAAGAAATCAGTCGAGATGCTTCAATCTAAGGAGACTCCTGCGGAGCAAAACGATACCGTTTCCTCGGTCGAGCCCGATGGAGCCCATCGTCCGGTAGTATGTCCCATCTGAAACCGCGTTGCCAATATCCATCAGACCAAGAATCGATACTAGGAAGCGTCTTGAGCAAAAGCGCAACTGATCCCTACTCAGCATGTCAGACACACAATGCCGCGTCTACAGGTGAACGACGACAATGCACTTTTCTGTGTCGAGTGTGTTCGATTTACTGTTGCAATGATAGCTATGGTTTGTGACCAATCACAGCCGGACACGTCTGAGTGGGACCTTCCTGCTAGCACATCATTGCTCACAGTGTGAGAATATTGCTGAAGGATTGCATGTTCGTAGTGGTGCGGCACAGGTCTGTGTTACAGCGTTTGAACATGTTCAATTTGCTGTTCGTTCTGGCCGGAGCAACAGCCCTGCTCTTGTACTACCTAACCCTCTATATCCTCTTACCCAAGCAAAGAACAAATCAGCTGCGAGGTCGTGTACCTCTTCACACCTTTGAGGACCGACCAGACACGTACGAGAACTATGTCAAGTCGACTCGTCAACTGCATTATGCAGGCTACAAGAAATACATCCAGAAGTCGCTACCATATCGGGTGAAGACGAGCGCAGGGGGCGAACGAATCATTCTTCCTTTCAAGTATTTGGTCGAGATTAAAAATGCTCCACAGAGTGCCATTAGCCTTCCAGATGAGATGGAGGAATTACTGCTGATGAAGTACACGGGTGTTCCTCAGCGAACGTAAGTCATGCACATCTTGAGGGATTGTATGCTCACTGATAAAATGCTACCAGGGATTCTGGCACAAAAGTCGTCCGTGTTGACATGACAAGGAATCTAGGAAACTTTGTCCAAGCAATGAATGAAGAGTGCGTGTACGGCTTCGAGAAGTACATGCCTGTGGAAAACGAATGGCAAAATATCAAGCCATATCACGTCTTTGCCAGGATAGTCGCATTGATCTCAGGTCGTGTCCTGGTTGGGCAACAGTTATGCAGAGACGAGGCTTGGATCAGATTGAGCATGGAATTCTCAACTCACGCTTTCGGTGCAGCACGAACTCTTCGAAGTGGCAATAAGTGGCCATGGTCGATGCGGCTAGCCTCGCTCACTGAGCCCGCCGTGAAAGGGATCTTGCAGCGGCAACGAGAAGCGGAAGCCTTGATAAAACCCATATGCGAGGAGAGGCTACGCCTGAAAAATAATCCCGATTGGAAGAAACAAGACGATGGCATCCAATGGCTCCTCGATAGCCACTCCAACAGTGGCGAGTCAGCAGACGAAGTTGTAAAGAGCCAACTCCGACTCACCATGGCCGCCATACACAACACTACCATGAGCGCCACGAACGATCTATTCGATTTGATCGAACATCCAGAATACATCGAAATTCTCCGAGAAGAAGTCAACACCGTGCTCACCGAAGAGCAAGGCTGGACGAAACAAGCTTTGACCAAAATGAGAAAAATGGATAGCTTCATGAAAGAGAGTCAACGCATGAATCCATCAACGCCAATCACTTGCAAGCGAAAAGTGATGCAAGACTTCACCCTGCACGATGGACTCATCTTACCTCGGAGCTCACACGTAGCATTCACCTCAGACGCTGTGAATCGAGATCCTGAAATTTATCCTTCTCCGGATACCTTCGATGGTTTGAGATTCCACAAACTTCGTACAGCACGCTGCAGTAATGAGGATGGAGCTATATCTGCGAATGAGACAAAGTACCAGTTTGTGACCGCGACGCAAGAGTACCAAAATTGGGGTGCTGGTGGCCATGCTTGTCCAGGCCGATTCTTTGCGAGCAACGAGATCAAGCTCATGCTAGCTTACCTGCTTCAGAACTACGACTTTTGCTGGAAATATGGCGAAAGTAGAACTGAGAGTGCTGTCATTGACTGGAATATTCTGCCTGATCGGGAGAAAGAAGTGATGTTCAGACGAAGGAGCCAGCAGTAGTGATGAATAAACCACCGGTACTGATGACTATCAATCATGTCAAAAGAGTGTCGAGTTGATTCATAACTTCGTATAAAGATGACAGTTGTGCCTGCGATCTACCTTGACCTGTTCTCAACTTCCTCAACATCAACGTCCATCTTCTCTTTCTCATCAAAGTCGATGACATCTGGTGATTCTGGCCTCACAGCGATAGCTTGCGCCACAGAAGGATAAACTCGCACGGCAACAGCACCCTCTCCAGCAGCAGTAGCTTGCGCTGGGGAGACACCACCCTCTTCATCCAGGATGAGGAATCCCGCTCTTTCGAATCTCTCACGCACATATTTCGTCATGCCGACAAATCTGCACTGCGTACTGGGTCCGCCGTACTTTGAAAGCTCTTTGAGGAAAGTCTTGAGCTGCGTGACAGCTGTAGCGTCGATGTGGTTACATTTCGCGAAGTCAAGAATAACAGCTTGTACCGGGGGCAGCTCGGAAGGGTTTGTGATACCAGCGCGGCGGCGAAGTCGTGCAATGCGCTTTTCGCCTGCGACAGACCAGTTCCTGTCCGCTTCAGAGCCAAAGGATGAGCTGTGATGCGGAGAGTGGTAAGTCTTGATAGCATCAGTCATCGAGTTGGCCACGCGATATGCGTTAGCGAAGAAGAATGACTCGTTGAAGCGGAAGACTCTGATGCCCTCAGGTATGCCGTCCGCACCTGCCGATGAGTTACTGGGCACGAGCTGATGTTGCAGTTCCAAAGGAGAGTCATCGCTCGCGTGAGTGACACGTGTGAAGACCTGGCGGAGAAGGATGTACACGATGTTGAATCCCACTGCTGCGGCGATTCCGATTTCAGTACTTTCGAATAGGCAGACCCAGAGAGCAATCATTGAGGCAATGAAGTCGGCCAAAGAAGTCTTCCAGTAGGTGTAGAACACTTTCGGTGAGCTGATGAGAGGCCAGACAGCACAGATGATGATTGCTGCGAGTGTCGAACTAGGAACCCAGTAGAGTGCTCCTGAGATAAAGTAGAGTGTGATCAAGACAACGGCAGTGGTGAAGCTGAGGATTCATCAGTCTCGAATCGGAACGCAGCAAGGTGCCTCTTGTACTCACATGCCTGATAGAGGAGACTTGACCTTGCAAGCGGAGTTTACCGCTGTGCGCGACCTTGTACACGTTAGCATAATATCAAAGCAGTGAAATGGCATGTTGTTCGTACATAGCTCCACCGACACCCATAGCGTGAAACCATGAGTTTGCAAAGTTGACGATACCAAAATACACCTGTGAATAATCAGCGATACAGCGTTGAACGCGAGAAGCTGGGCTCAGTCCTTACTAGCTCTTGAGTCTGGTCGCAGCTGTAGTTGTTCCTCACGGCGAAGCCTCGAGCGATGGCAGTACTCTGTAATATGTTTCAGCAAAGCAATAATCACGCTTAACAACGATGATCTTACTTCTATCGCAGCTCCGATGAACACCGCGATGCTACGTCCAGGGAGGGCCTGCGCTATGTTAGAATGTTGCCAAGACGTGTCTGTTAGGCGCAAGTCTTCAAGTTAGACTTACAGTGATCAAGCTGCTGGGAGGTAGCTCAGGCTTCGGTATGCCCGAGGCTGAGACCTGAGCGACATTGAAGAGATAGTCGTCGTTGTCGTCGTACTTCTTGTTGACGGCGTAGCTGATGCCGGTATAGAGGACCAAGCAAGTGAATGCCCGAGTGATTGTCATGAACCACACGAACTTGTTCTTGTCCGACCAACGCTTACCACACTTCTCAATTACTGTAAGAAAGAGAAGTCCAGTGAAGCCAATCGCACAGGCGTAACCATTGGCGGTTGGAAGCTTGGCGAAGACATCATGAATCTTCCCTGCAGTGTCGTCTGCAGTGCCCTTTGATTCGCCCAGCAGAGAAGGTATCTGAGACAGTATGATAGTCATGGCTACGGCGGAAATGAAGCCAGAGAGGACTGGAAGCGATATGAAATCCAGCAGGAAGCCGAGGTTGAGGAATCCAAGGATCATACCAAAAACTCCCTGCGTAGCAACTCGTCAGTAAACATCGGGCGCATACGAGGAGCGAGGTGAAACGATACCATCCACAAGGCCATGGCAGAGGCAACTTGTGCAGGAGTGACGGATGAGTCTCCGTCCTCAGGGGCGAAATGATCGACTTGCTCCGATGTAAGAAGACCGATGAGCGAGGTGGGACCAGTGCTTAGATCTGCAAGAATCAGCGACAGCGTTGAGGGAGTTGCATTGCGCTGATACAAACCTTTGGTGGTGCCCATGATGGCGTACAAAACTCCTGGAAACCATGACGCCGCAAGCCCATTCTCAACGGGGATTTTGGCGAGTTTGGCGTATGAAAGACTCTGAGGAATGAGCATCAAACCCACGGTAATACCAGCGATCAAGTCGTTGACCAGCCATCGCCAGTTGTATCTGGGCAGCCAAGAGACGATCGGAGCTTTGTTCAGGACGTATTGCAATGAACCTGATGGTAAGGCTCGTGCGCCGGTCTTGCCAACCTGAGCAATGCGATTCCAATTGTGATCAGTCCGCACGTCGTTCGACGCCTTGCCCATCAATCCTTTGAGTGCGGACATGCTGGGCACACGTAGTCCGGTTGTGGTTGTCGACTTGTCCCGCAATGATTTTCCAGAGTATGTCGCCGTGAGCCGTGGACAATCAATGTTTGCGCGAAGTCGCTGCAGTATATGTACAAGGCCTATAAGGCTCTATCGAAAGCAGTCAATGTCGGTGTCTGTGCGATGGCGCAGACGGCGGCTTTGTGTAGATCTGAAGTCTGGATAGAGTACACTCTCAAATCCAGCTGTGCCCTACTCGGACAACGATATTTGACAACGCTCCCCAGCTGGAAGCGCTGAACCTTAAGAGTGTAGGTTGGACAGGGCTACGCGTCACATATGTGGCAGGTAGCGACCAGTGACTGTGTTTGTAGGTCGTATCTGGACACATCTCGACCAGTGAATAGATTGTACCCCGCTGCTGGTATTTGTTGCAGTAATTGAAGCGTCTTGGTCGCTAACAGGCTATGTGGCATGTGGTATCCCCGTCATTGGTCCAATATGGCTCGCTGTCTTGCTGACATGAGGAAGACGAGCTGCAGAGCATGTAGCTATCCCGGCGGGGAACCTTGTGAGATAGCTGGCAACGAATGGCAATTCAGCTTGCAAGAGAAGCTTCGCCCGTTCATCGTCGAACAGACGCTGCTCTTGGCAGGTGTCGCAACAACCACGCTGTTAAGCGTCTCAAGCTTCATGCCGGCGGCGTTCCGCGGCCTATATTGGCAGGTTGACTTCACGCGCCATGCACGACCTGGGCTTCTCTGATTCGATCGGCACGTAGTGACATTGTAGATCTGTAACCTTGTGCATGGTGAGCTGAAAGAACGGCTCCCACTTCCACCTTTACCGCTCGATCCGACCTCCATAGAGCTTACCCGACCTACTCTCAAGGTCCCAGCTTCAAATTGATCGAGGCAATAGTGACTAGCATTTACAGGTGCATACTGAAGCTTGTTGCCACTCCAACAACATCATTCTCGAAGGCCAACACCCATGCTCTGCACGTGTTCACTTCGAGAGCGAGAGCTGCACATGGGCATCCGCGGGCGTGATTGATATTTGGCGTACCAGGAGACAGCACACTCCCTAGCGTTGTGATGATTCGCACGCCGTGCAGCCTCGCAGCATCCGAGGACAGTCTCGGGAGAGGAGAAGCAGAAACATCTCTCCGCACGCTTCTTGGACGCGGCTCAGGAGGCGACCTCAAGCTGCCCAAACGAGCTCGTCTGGATGCAGTAGCAGTCGTGTCGGTCACGAAATAGATGGTAAGAAGCGTTGTTGGAAGCATTCATGTTCCGGTTGTGCGTCGTTTAGTTGAAGTTTGGGGTGGGAGTAACACGTGATCGATCGATGACATCAGCTGCCGAACTTCACCTCCTTTACAACGATAGTCAATCTCCTTTCATCAACACAGATCGAATTTCTCCTCTTGCCATCACTTAAAGGTTGCCCGTCGAGACTGACCACATGAGAGACCGAATTGGGCGATGCGCACTGGACGAGGACGCCTAGCCTGCCCGACAGGTGAAGGAGAGAGTTCATGTACCGCTCAGTGCTGTTGTTCAACGATAATCCACCCTCGGACGGGCCTTCTGCCATTTTCCTGCCCAAGTCTCATCGACTTCTCATCTCAAGTGAAGTACTATGTCGGTTGCACCCTGTACGGTCCCATTCGGGTAAGAGAACCCGGATGACAGAAGGCTTCACGCCCTCTCTCTCTTGCCAAGCCAGGATGACATGTATTCGAAGTTGACGGCCGAGCATCCACTCCCCAAGGTAGGTGAACTACGCCTGCAAGAACGCCCTGCAATGCACAGAATGCACAATACCGCCGAGAGATACTCAACACACGTGGCTCATCCGCGGAGCCAAGCGAATATGATGTCGTTCACCACGTTTCAGGGTCTGCCAAGGTGGCAACTTTTCTTGGTAGGGCTCAATTTACTACCACGAAAGACATTCATGTGACGCAAACGAAACGAACAAGACTTCGCCAGGGCTTGGACGTCAGTCTCTAGGTGATGTGTAGCACGTTGTTGAGTTGAGATGAGGTCGATGGCCATGCAATGCGGTGGCGGTGTTCTCTGCACCAAGGCTTGACCCAAACGCGGGTACGTCAACACCGTCGAGCAGAAGGATACATATATGGCCTGAGCTCCCCTGTAATGCTGCTCATTAACAGCCAAAATAATCACGATCTCGAACAACTATTCAACTCCAAGGATAACAAACAACCAATATCGAGGCATATTCAGAAACATATCGACACATTATGAGCAACACATCGACCTCATTGCGTGTTCCTCAGCTTTTAGAGCCAATTCACCCACAACACCAAGACAACACTAGCATATCAGATCGGGACCTGACAATGTCTGAAGCCCAATCATTCCCAGATCAGTCGTCAAGGAACTCTCTAAGCGTCGACGAGAAAGAACTACACGGGTCGGCTCACCGCGACTCCACATCGTCCAACGAAGGAGGCGTCAACGGGCGGTCCCTTACATATGCCACCAACACCAGTACGGAGCCTGCGGAATTGAGCGCATACGACCATGACCGAGCTCTTTCCGCCTCTGCCACACCAAGCTCGAGCCGGAGCCGAAGTCGATCAAGAGGCTCGTACGACATGCATCGCATGAGCCAGGACGGAGGAAATCGATGGGCCGACGACAAGGAAGCAAAGCAGAAGAAGATGCTACGAAAAATCATGGATCACAAGTTGGCACCTTCTTTCTTGAAGTAGGGATGCTACAGGTTCAACAATGGTACAACAGAGAGCCTTTTTGAATGAAATACGAGCGCATAGTTATGTATAGTGATGATCATCAACGAAACTATCCTCCACCTAGCATCGACCTGAATCTCAAGCTCGCATGCGTGCATTTGTTCCTTCCACCGGAGTTAACGGACATAGAAGTGGGCGACGATAGACATACCGCGCAGCCAAACCTTCCACTCGTCCCACTTCGCAGATGTCCTTGATGTCGAATCATCATGGCTGACACCAATGAGAACATCGCACGATGTATGCGTGTCACGACGGAAGCCTTCTTACAGACTTGGACAGGCAATTGGGTTCATGCTCTGGAGGCCAATTTGGCCCTGCGTGCTCCGGAATGCTCGCACACCATTCTCCCTTCTTCTCTTGGCAGAAAGAACGAAACCAACGATGTCTGGGCAAGCAAATTCTCCAAAGTGATGTCGTTGGTTACCGAAAGTACTGTATGTCTCCCGACCGAGCTGGTCGTTAAGAAACACGTACTAACGCTCGTGATAGATGACTCTCGAAGACTACATCAGCGTTCCCGCAGAGAGACGGGCAGTTGCTCGTTCCTCAGTGAAAGCCCAGAGTCCTGTAGGATCATACGAGAATGACTACGTGTGGTTCTTGAACTTTGACGAAGAAGGCAAAAAGATCGTGAAGATTGTCGAATTTGTGGATGGACTAGCTGCAAAGGAACTGCTCGGCAAGTTGAAGGAGGGAGGATACGTCGAATGATTAAAGCCTCGTGTTTGTGATTTCAGATCATACTTCCCCGGAGCTTTCGTCGGCGGTATGTGGTTCCAGCTCATTCGCTCGATCTTATCATGTAGACAGTATGCTGTCGAGTAATAGCTAAACCCGAGCGGAGCGGTGTAAGTGTTCGAACAAATGACTCAGTTAGCGCCACAAGTCAAGTAGCCTAAACGCTTTGGGGCAAAGCATAATGTTCAGCTCTTCGCAAGACTTCCATTCAACTCAGAAGGCTCCCAATACATTGTAAGCAGCGACATACGAACGCAAAGACTTCGTGGAGCCACTCATGATGGGCCCAGGCAAGACGGCCAACACCTATCCACTGAGTCGAGACTTCCTAGCCTCTTCTCGATTACACCTACAACATCAGGCTTGGATTGCGTCTTTAGGCTATCATCTACACCCTTCCATCCCCATCTCGGACAATACAATCATCGCAGACATCGGATGCGGCAATGGAATCTGGTCCGTCGAACTCGCAAAGCAGCTCCCTACTGGAGCAAAGATTGAGGCATCAGACATCAGTCTCGCACAATGTCCACCTCGCGGATGGTGGCCAAGTAACATAACATTCGGCGAGCTGGATATCTTTGCCCCACTGACTGAGCAAATTGTTGGCCGCTTTGATGTCGTAAACATCAGGCACTTCATCTGCGTCGTGCAGTCCGGAGACCCTACAAAACTGATCACGGCTCTTGTCAAGCTACTCAAGCCAGGAGGATACCTGCAATGGCAAGAGTTTGACTTGAGCTCGAGCAGGCTGGTCGTCGTCGATTCAGAAGATCCACCAGAAGCTATCGCGCCAAAGATGAATGCATTGGTGAAGGCAGTAAGCGCATTCGGAGCCCAGACGAAATGGATCAAAGAGCTTCACACATTCTTAAACGGTCCTGAGATCGAACTCATCGAGCATGATCGAAACTGGACCGCGAAAGAGGCCATTATGCTGAAGCAGGACAGTGGTTATCTGGGAAGTCGCGAATTGAGAGTCAACAATGCAAGCAGTGAGCAAGCAGCGCAATTTGAGCAGCTTGCAGATGCCGCTTACGAAGAGTGCCTGCGACTGGGTAGGAGAAGTCTCGTAGACTCTGAGATGGTGACGTGGGTAGCACGGAAGAAGTGACTGTGCGTCTTGCAGAGCCATGATAAAAGATCTTCGAAAGCGGTCAGAAATCGGCTTTCCGGACACCCATACTATGATGTTGCGGCCATTAACTCAAGGACAGAGGTAACGTCGCTCGAGAATCACCTGATCTCCTTCAATCTTAGGTAGTTCTGTACCGGTCTGTGGGTAATACCATCCGACGCTCTGTGGCTCGCTAGTTCTGGGGGAGTGGGCAGCAACTCAAAATGCCAGAAAACCAACGTCAAGATGATTTTGATCTCCATCAGCGCCCATTTCTTGCCTAGAAGACACATCAGTATTACGGAAACTTCCGACCTTGGTCAACGAGAACATTAATCTTACCAAAACAAGCCCTTGGGCCACTCCCGAACGCATTCGCCGGGCCAGCATCTCGATCACAAAATATCTTGCCTTCAGCATCTTTCTTCAACCACCGTTCAGGATCGAAGCGTTCGATGCCCTCAGTCTCCCACATTCCCCACCTCTGCTTCTGTGCAAGAGAGGACTTCTCACGTTGATCATCCTCGAGCTTGCCAACGAGTGGAGAGACGTAGCCCGTGCCTTGAACCGGAAAGACAACGTCTATACCCTTTGGTACGTGGTGGCCGAGGATCTGAGTGTCATTCTTCGTGAGCCTGAACGTCGCAGGAGCTGTGTGGCCGCAACGTCCGATCTCTTCGATAATGGCTTCCAGGTACGGCAATGAAGCTCTATTGATGTCTCCTACGGACGGTACACTGCCATCGTTGTCGTGCTCGGGGAAAGCCCCACACAAAGCGGCTTGGAGCTTGCTTTGGACTTCCTGATTGTCTGTCAGGAATTTCAGGCCCCAAAGAATGAAGGTTGACGAAGTCTGTGAGTGTTTGTCAGTACGCTTCTCAAGCAGATAGTGGTCGAGAAACTTACATCGTGGCCAGCAATCATGAACGCAAACAATTCGTCGTTCAGCACTCTGCTTGTAGGGTCGAATGCTCGCCCCTCTTTGTTTGCAATCTGCACTTCTCTGGCCACAACAAGATCCAGCGCGCTGCGAAAGTGCTTGTTCGATTCGAGGTCGCCTGCTTCTGCCAACTTCGAAAACTTAGCATGGACGTCCCGGAGCTGTTTCGTGATCATCTTGTCCTTTCGGCTCCGTGCTTTGCGTTGGGCAGGTAAGAAGTTCAAAGCCACCCAGTGTGCCATCTTGGGCCACATTGAGTTGATCGGAACTTCCATACCCTCTCCAAGCTCCAATATACACGTAAAGTCCTCCGGATCCTTCGCAGTTGGAAACGTGACAGCAGCACCCTCATTCCCGTCCAACTTGGTATACTTGGACAAATGCGCAATCTGTGCCTTTGCAGAACCCATCTCTTCGCCGAAAGTCGCTGCCCAAACGATGTCCAACGCCCCTTTATACACGTCCGTACTCGCACTCCAACTCCTCCCATCTGCCAGCTTCGCCTTCACCTTCCACAACTCAATCAATCGCATAGCAGAACCCCACATCTTCGGCGCAGCGACATCTTGCAAGAACCTCGGACTCATCGTATCACTCAACAGCCTGCGATGGGATTTCCATTCCTCGCTGGTCGGCATATGGCCATGGAATTCCGGCAACATGACTTTAAAAATCTGCTCGAAGAATCGAGAACGATCGAAATCTTGCATTCGATAAGTTCGGATCGCTTGGGCCTCATATGGATCGACGACGACGACCCATGGACGACCAAGAGGCTGCAGAAAGATCTGGAAGATGGGGCTGTCGAGTTCTTTAGCTCGTTCGTGAAGGATATTGTAGAGGGAGCCGGTCTTTTCTTTCCAAGCCAGAGCATCGGGAACGTCGCCGAGCACACGATTAGCTGACGCCGGATGGTAAGGAATGCCGGGAATGGGTTTCGGGAGGCAGAGGCGGCGGAGGAAATAGCAGGTCGCGGCGACGACCACTAGCAGGATGCCAGCGCTTTGGAAATTAGTCATGTTGGTGATTGTAGAATTCGTGCTCAGAGGCAACTACATGATGAGAGGACAAAAGGTTAAAGGAGGTCGATGATATATGTCAGCCTGCTGAACAGGAATGGCAGAGAGCATCGTATTCTCCGCAGGATTCTCAGCCCCGAAGGGAGAGTGGTACAAAGCTGAAGCAGCTGAACATGGATGCCTGTGTCAAGTGAATGCCACTTCATGGCATCAAGTCGTTGCTGCATGAGGTGCAACGCTGCTCTTGGCAGTCGCTCGTAGGATTCAGGAAGGATTACAGTTTAACCTGGCCAATCCAGCTGTCAGCAACCATGTAGGGCAGTATTGGACCCCAACGGACGATCAACGACGCTGTGCGTGTATTCCTGCATATCACCTATGCTCATTCGCAGGACTGTGCCTCCGCCGTGCCAAGGTTGTTACCTTGCAACCAGTCTTCGACGCAGCTGAATTGATAGACGGAGAAACCCTAGCGGAGAAACCCTAGCGGAGGAAGCACTAAAGCATCTTGGAACATCTTGGCTGGCTGTAAGCTTCTCAGGCGTTCCGTAGCTGTGATGATCGGGCCACATGCCACGTTATCTTGCTCTATCATCGTCTGGGATCGTCAGCATTCGAAAAAGCACAGCACTCTACAGCTTCGCTCTCTCCGCCTTGATATCATCCCAATCACTCCTCCGATATTCAACGTACACATCACCTCCCGGCTTCACCCACAGAAATGTGTCCTCGCTGCCTTCTTTCTCATGTATTCCCAGGAGATCCGGATCAACACCTTCCTGTCTCAACCCAACCTTGTTCTGCTTATGGTTGTGAATGTGGCTGCTCTTTTGCTGCACTCGAAGGAAAACCGGAACAGCATATCGTGGAAGAGCTTTTCTGCAATGCGCCAGAACTTCTCGTCGCCAGGACTCTGACAGTGCGTCTGAGCGATTCGTCAGTTGCAGTGCTGCACAGCCTGCGCGACCTTCATAGCCAGGTATTGAGACTCCGTAGACGTTGGCTTCTTCGATGCCAGGATACCGTCCAAGCACTTCGGCGACTTCGGCTGTCGAAACGTTCTCGGATTTCCAACGGAATGTATCACCGAGCCGATCGAGAAAATACCAGTGTCCCTCGGAACTGCGGCGCAAAGCATCGCCAGAGCGGTAGTACAAGTCTCCCTTCTGGAATACGTCAGTGGCAAATCGCTTGTTGGTTGCTTCGGGGTTCCTCCAATATCCCCCAAAAGCTTCCTTGTTTGGTACGGCCACAAGGATTTCGCCGCCCTCTTCGTAAGGTGTCCGTTGTGCGAAGCCGGTCTTGGAATCACGGTAGATGTCGCCTGTGTCAGGATCGATGCGTACAGGAATGTAGACATTCTGATAGAGTGCTCTGAGAACCAGTCCATGATGTCCGACGCAGTTGTTGTAGTGGTTGTTGCGAGACCAGACGACTGTACTCAACATGCCCTCGGAAGAGTTGAAGAACTCGGCTATCTCGGGGATGTTGAATCGTGACTGAAGTCTGGACCAGACATCGGGACGGAGGCCGTTGCCGTAGGCCAGTCGAAGCTTGTGAGATCTTTCGAGTGGATGTGTAGGTGCCGCTAGAAGGTATCGTGCAGTTTCTCCGACGTATATGAACATCGTCGCCTCGCTGTCATGGATGTCTGGCCAAAAGTTCTTCACGGAGAAGCGAGGAGCGATGGCAACGCCAATCCCTGTGAGCAGAGCACTCGACGTTGTGATGAGTCCAGTCCCGTGATACAGAGGCATAGGGCTATACCAGCAATCTCTGCCCCGTACTGACCCGAAAGGAGGGTCAATATGGCTTCCGAGCAGGTGAGTTCGAGAAATGGTGAATGGGCAGCCTTTGGGCAGGCCCGTGGTTCCAGACGTGTAGAGCAGAGCGTATGGCTGCTCGCCTTTCATGCCACTCCGCAAGGAATCTGGGGGCACTATGGCTTTGCGTGAATCTATTTGACTTCTGAGATTGTTGTCTAGCGAGACGATCTTAGTGCCTGCGGCCTCAATGTCCTGCTGGCTAGCGGCGATTCTCTGCTGACATCCAGCATCTTGGTCGATAAGCAACAGCTTGCTGTCACAGACTGATAAGCAGTGCATCAAAGCTGCGCCTTCCAGGTTGTAATTGATGAGTGCGGGTCCGGCTCCGATGCTCAATGTGGCGAACATGATCATGATGAATTGGTCCGAATTGTGCAGGTACATGGCAACGAGATCGCCAGGCTTGATACCTTGGTCCAGCATCCATTGTGCGTAGCGTGTGATTTGATCGTGCATCTCCTTGAATGTCCAGCTCCGCTCGCGAGTCCAGATGGCGCGGTCATTGGGCTGACGAGCACATGTCTCCGCCAGGATGTACCACGGCGAAACTTTGTCGTCCTTCACTGTAGGCTGTTAGCGTGGCAGTATCGCCACCGACTCTGTTGGACATACCTGCTTGCGCGTACACACGCTCTGCATTCTTGCTTTTCAGTATGGCCTTGACGTCGCGTCCTATCTGGTATTTGCCATTGAGGTAAGCGGTAGCAGCAGCTGCTGCCGCCGTTGCTGCAACTGTGATGGCTGTCAGTGGTTGAAGCCGCAGAAGGTAGGAGGTCTCGCTTACCCAATGCCATCGATAGTGTTGCTGAGCCCGAAGCGCAGGTGTGAAGGCGAGAATGTCTTGGCTATCGAGTCTGTCGACCAACGGAATTGTGGTTGATGGTGATCAGCAGAGCGCGGAAGCAGGTGGTATAGCTGACAAAGTCTGGGCGAACTTTGCTTAGCTACAACATGCCCGACAGTCGCAGCATTGCAGCATTGTATGTCGTTCGGATCCCTGCCCCGCCTGCCTGCGTGCGTATCCTCGGGTCAATTGACCGCCTCGGCACACTTGTCCCGAATGTGGGCGGAGGAACGCTGCACGCCGTGTCAGAAGAAGCGAGAAAGTGGCGTTGTGTTCCATGTGGCAGCGCATGGTGAATGATAGTCTCCTGGTTTCGCAATGCACTGCCTATGGTCGACCACCATCAGCTGACTAGAGCAATGTTGTGACCACGCTGGACCTCCACAAAGCGGTGTACTATGCGATGGCTTGAGGAGGACACGATGCGAGACGGAAAATCCGAAGCGCGTGATACGGGCGTATTGAGAATGAGCATGACATCTCATACACATGTCAGAAGGCAGCGTGAAGGCCGTGATGACCCGGTGGAAAGTGAAGTCGAAGAGGGAGGGCTCGTCGGATGTGCCTTCCGAGGACGAGTCAAGGCTAAGTTAACTTAGGTTTGGGGCTTCGTCGGAGGTTACAGACGCCGACAGCTGGAAAAAGTTCAGCTTCGGCCGTTCGAGAATGCGCAGAGTGGAAGAGCTGTCTCTGCACACTTTCGACAAGAAACTGCAACAATGGGTGTCGGACGTCGCATGGGAAAGAAACAGGGCGCTCCTGAGCCTCTAGATGAGGCATTGATCACGAGGAAGCGCAAGTCTGCCGCACCTGCGAAGGGAGCCATCAAGAAGCAAAAAGTCGTCGAGCAGAAGCCTGCAAAGCCTACGAAGCAAGCAACGACAAATGGCCATAAGCAGGCACCTGCTGCGAAGCCAGCGAAGGTGAAGAAGTCCAAGAAAACTGCTCCCACGCCGCCCGAATCAGATGCAGACGACGATGTGGAAGACCTGAATAGCGATGTGCTGGAAGACGAGGCTGGTGGGATGGCGGAAGATCTGGACTTCGACGACGACTCCTTCGGCAGCGACGCGGACGACTTTGCCGATGCGCCTAGCGATGACGACGATGTGGAGCTGTCGGACAGCGAGATGCCCAAGAGCAAGATGTGGTCGGACGATGAGGACTCAGATGCGGAAGAGACGTTGACAGCGGCGAATATTGCTGGACTGTCTCGAAAGCTGGACGAACAAAGAGCACAGGAAGCAGCGGAGGCAGAAGAGGAGTTGCAGGATGATGCGCTTCAGACGAACATTGCTGCGGCAGATCTGTCAGACGACGAGGATGGGCCAGGCGCTGGTCTCGCGCCAGATTTACAATTGCTCCGCACGAGGATCACAGAGATTGTACGTGTCTTGACTAACTTCAAGGAACTGGGCGAGCCCGGCAAGAGCAGAGCAGAATACACACAGTCGCTGCTTAAGGACATCTGCACGTACTACGGCTATTCGCCTTTCCTGGCGGAGAAGCTCTTCTCCCTCTTCCCGCCACAAGAAGCACTGCAGTTCTTCGACGCAAACGAGACGCCACGTCCGATGGTCATTCGCACGAACACACTCCGAACACATCGACGAGACCTCGCGCACTCTTTGATCAATCGAGGTGTAACTCTGGAGCCAGTCGGGAAATGGTCCAAGGTCGGTCTGCAGATCTTCGAATCGCAGGTGCCACTGGGAGCCACGCCCGAATATCTCGCTGGTCATTACATCCTTCAGGCCGCTTCCTCTTTCCTGCCTGTCATGGCATTGGCACCGCAAGAGCACGAACGAGTTCTGGACATGGCAGCTGCTCCCGGAGGAAAGACTACACATCTAGCAGCATTGATGCGGAATACTGGTGTCATCTTCTCGAACGATTCCAATAAAGATCGTGCAAAGGGTCTCATTGGTAACATTCACAGACTGGGTGTGAAGAACACGGTCGTCTGCAATTATTCAGCTCTGGAGTTTCCAAAAGTCATGGGTGGTTTTGACCGTGTCCTGCTGGATGCGCCTTGCTCCGGTACTGGAGTCATTGCCAAGGATGCGAGTGTGAAGACGAACAAGACTGAGGCAGATTTCCTCCGACTGCCTCATCTCCAGAAGCAGCTTCTGCTTGCTGCTGTAGACTCTGTTGATCACGCATCGAAGACGGGAGGCTACATTGTCTATTCGACGTGCTCAGTCACAGTCGAAGAGAACGAGCAGGTCGTGCAATACGTTCTTAACAAGCGACCCAACGTCAAGCTTGTGCCCACAGGCCTGGTATTCGGCAAGGAGGGATTCACGAAATTCCAGTCAAAGCGCTTCCATCCGAGCATGAAGGAGACGCGGCGATATTACCCGCATGCTTACAACGTGGATGGTTTCTTCGTTGCCAAGTTCAAGAAGATCGCGGTGACACCACTCAATGCTGTGAGGGCGCAAGGCAGTGCCGAAGAAAAGAAGCAACAAGTTAACGGAGGCGCGCAAGAGGAAGAAATCGTGGAGGACGAAGACATCGTTGATGACGAGAAGCAAAATGGCGAAGGCGACGACTTTGGCGGCTTCGACAGTGAAGAAGACAACAAGATCATCGAGAGAGCACAGCGGAAGACATTGAAAAAGAAGGGCATAAATCCCAAGGCGTCCAAGAGCAAAGCAGTGAAATCGCTGTTGAAAAAGTAATCGGTCTGGGAATTTACTAAATGGTCTGGATACCTTGTACAATTTATCAGGTGCCAGCTGAGAAGCGGCACCTTTCCTCGCATCTAGCTTCCACTCATCCCCATTGCACTGAAGAAATGCGATGAATGAGCAGCTGACAAGGCCACAGATTAAGCTTGCTCATGCCCCGCTCTTTCCGACCGGCGAATTCAACGATCTCGGCACACCAGTTCGCCTGCTATGGACCTTGACTTGTAGCTTCGAGCATTGATATAGATCAGCGACTTCGCGCGCCACCTTGAGCCAAACTTTCAGTTCCCACACACTTGGAATCGGGGCAGTGTCCGCCATGGCTGATCAACCGTCACTAACACCTGGAGTGCCTTGGACCGAGATAGTCAAGCAAAAGCGAGCGGATCAATCGAAGAAGATTTCAGAATACGAGCAGACCTATGCCTCGGAACCCTTACAAGATTCACAGATTGAGGCGATTACCTCTATCGATGCGGCAGAAGACCTTGCGGCCAGTGTCGCTGCCAAAAAGTTCACAGCTGTTGAAGTCGCGAAATCGTATATACAGAAGTGAGACTCTTCCAGAACACGAACGACTACACGTATCTTTCCAGGGTTGTGCTTACAGAACATGCTAGAGCAATTGCCGCACACAAGAAGACAAATTGCCTTACGGAGGTTCTCTTCGCTGAAGCAGTACAGCAAGCCTGCGAATTGGATTCATACTTACAGACGACCGGAAAGACCAAAGGCCCTCTGCACGGCGTATGCATGACCCTGAAAGATCAGTTCGACGTCACCGGCCACGACACCACGCTTGGATATGTTGGCATGTCGTTTCAACCTGCGAAGAAAGACGCTTTGCTAGTGAAGATCTTGAAAGAGGCGGGAGTGGTGTTCATTGCGAAGACGAATCTCCCGCAGAGTATCATGGTCAGTACCGCCTTCGTCAACGGTTGTGGATTGACATCGAATGAAGAGCTGACTATATTCCATATAGTGGTGTGAAACAGAGAATCCTCTCTTCGGTCTGACGACACATCCTATGAACCCGAATCTGACACCTGGTGGTTCCACTGGCGGCGAAGGTGCCCTCCTTCACGAGCATGGCAGTATCCTCGGCTGGGGAACAGACATTGGCGGCTCTGTACGCATTCCTGCTCACATGTGCGGCCTCTACTCCCTCAAACCCAGCAGCGGGCGTCTTCCATACTTAGGCTGTCAAGTCACCACCGCTGGCCAAGAACACGTCCCCTCCGTCGTCGGGCCGTTATCTCGCTCTCTCTCCTCCCTCTCCCTCGTTACTCGCACCCTCCTCGCCTCTTCTCCATGGCTCCATGATCCAACCTGTCACCGCATTCCCTGGGACCAGACCCTCTACAAAGAAACCCAATCCCGCCCCCTCACAATCGGCCTCCTTCTCGACGATGGTCTCGTCCGGCCACACCCGCCAAATACTCGAATCCTGACAAACCTCTCTACCGCACTTCAATCATCCGGCCACACAATCCTCCCCTGGTCTCCAGAAAACCATACCCCTCTCCACCGCGAAGCAATCTCAATAATGGACACCTACTACCTCTCCGACGGCTGTCTCGACCTCAAAACTTCCCTCGCCTTAGCGAACGAGCCTCCAATCTCTCGTGTATCCGACGTCCTCGCACAAGCTCTCGCTTCTCCCTCCAAAGGCGCGCCTTTCATAGTCCCGGAATACTGGGCTCTCAACCTGCGAAAACGCGCTGTCCAAGCAAAATACCTCGAGCTCTGGAATTCCATTCGCGATCCTGAGACGGGTAGAGAATGCGATGTGTTGATCATGCCGGTCATGCCGCACAGTGCAGTCCGACATCGAGAATGTAAATGGGTAGGGTACACGAAAGTGTGGAATTTGCTGGACTGGAGTGTGGTAGTTTTGCCAGCAGGAAAAGTCGAGCAGGAGGATGTGGAAGAAGAAGATGAAACGTACGAAGGTAGAAGTGAATTAGATAGCTGGAACTGGGGTTTATGGACAAAAGACAAACGGAACATGGTGGGATTGCCGATAGGTATACAGATTGTGGGTAGGAGGTTGGAGGAAGAGAAAGTTCTTGCCGCTGCGAAGGTCATCGAGGGTATTCTGAGAGGCGAGAGGAAGTGATCACAGAATCTCGTATTTTCAGCAGATGAGAATCAGAACAAAATCATAATCCTGCAGCTAGCGTGTCGCAGCACTGCCGCAAGACAACTTTTCATGGCTACCTATGCATCGTTCGCATCATTTATAACTCATATCACATTGGGGTATCGCCCATTTGCAATGGCCCCGACTTAAGCGCCAAACCTGATAGTGGCGGCAACAGCCAGGCCTTTTTGTACTTCTAGTCAACGCTCCAGACGCCAAAGCAAATGCAGCAATTGCGGACCTCCGATGCTCACAGCGCTGCATGACCTCCCTCCGTCCACTCTATTCCCTGCTGCAGAAATAGCCTCCTTGATGTGAAGGTAGTGCGTTGTGTCTTACGCGGTCCGGTACGAAGGAGTTGTGAGTCGTTTAAGTCCACTTCTGCACAACCACACCACCACGCTTGAAGTCGGACATGTCGCCAAGAACTTGCGACTTGTCGGCGAGCTCCTTCGAAGGGAATGTGGTTTGCAGCACATATGAGCGCTGCTGCGATGCAGGCGAAGCACGGTTGACAAAGTCGTAGACGTCGCCGATCGTGTGGGTGGTGTTGAAACGCGACGCCAGCCGAGTGCCGTCACCGAGTCGGATTTGCAATTGGAGAGTTGGTTGCGACTCATCGACAGTCATCTCCTCTGGCTTCGCCTGCGACGAGGCAGCAGCAGCGGGTGCTCTTGATGTTGATGCCGATGCTGCGGAAGACGATGCGAGAGCTGGTGTGGGGGAACCGAGACGCTGTCCTGACCCGCCAAATGGCTTGTACTTGGGCTTTGGCGCGACGTAGTTCTCGCCCTTGTGTGGATCCAGGTTCAGATCAACCTCTTGGTCAGGTTGGACATCGAGCAGTGCCTTAGGTGCTCGGCCTTGGTTGATTTCGGTCATAATATGCTCGTTCGCGTGGTCGTCGAAGCGCAAAAGTGGTCCGTCATCGATGCTCACACCGTCTGCCCACAGGTGGAGAGTGCGAGTGACTCGAGGAGGTGGTTGCCCTCGAACAGCGTTTGGATCCTCGATAACTCGACTAGGAGCATCGTCGCCTCCCAATGTCTGCGCACGTCCCATAAAGTGGCTACTTCGTGGTTCCTCGTCTTCCTCGCCTGCCGCACCAGGGCGGTCGCGGTTCGAGCGCGCCTGGTTCATGATGTTACGGAAGTGATCGACTGGGCCGTCGCCCTGATTTGGATCTGTGACTGCGAGCCCACTCTTCTCACCACCAGCGAACAAGTCGCGCTTCTTGTCATCATCTGAGGATGCATCCCCGCCACCTTGCAAGTCGCGCAGGGTCGTGGGACCCTTGGGCTTCCTACTGCTGCCCGATTTGTTGGTTGCGGGTGCAGCGTCTACATTGCGGCGTGGGTTGGCGGTCGGTGGAGGTTCGTCGTCGTCGTCTTCGTCGGCAGAGGCTTGCTCGTCGCCGGCAGCGAAGAAGAGGCTGACGGCAGCCTCAAGGTCCCAGTTAGATGCGCCAAGCGCGTTTTGTGCCTGAGCGATCAGTTAGCAAGGTGTTCACGGCAACAGTAGATTGAGGGAACATACAACTGTGGGACTCGCGCCGGTGATCGCCGTAAATTGCGCCACCTTCTCGTCCTGCGTGTCGCTCGAGTCCGCGGTTGACATCGTGCTATTGGTTGCGTTGGACGTGTGTTCTTTTGTAGGTGGGATGGGAGTGTTGTTGTTTCGGAAGAGCTTCGAAGGTGGGGAGGAGCGTTCGTTCAAGTTCGAGGCAATGACATCGACGCTTGGCGCGGCAGTCCGTGTTGATGAAGAGAGAGCTTGTGAGAGAGAACGAGCTCGGCTTTATGTACCGCTTCCGCCGCCGCACATCACCACCCATTCACCACCGTGACGCGTCAATTGCCCGCCGGACAACACATTCACTCGTTCTATCACCAAATCACTATACTACTCCGTCATCAGAGATCACCCTGTAGCAGCGACTGTGACTCGGCGACCGCTGAGCACGCCAAACATCCCCTGCAACCATGGATCTCTCCGAATCGCAGACCACATTCCCGTCTGATAGCGAAAACTACGATGCGAACCACTCGAACCAAGACTCTTCCGAAGAGCCCATATCAGACACGTCAAGTCCCATGATCCTCTACTCGCCGCCCACCTTCTGGAGCATATTGCGAGGCGCGGCGATCAACTTACTCCTGCCCTTCGTCAACGGACTGATGCTGGGATTTGGAGAGCTGTTTGCACATGAGGCGGCATTCCGGTTAGGATGGAGTGGGACGAAGGTATGGAACACAATCGCTGCGCTCTCAGCGAGCCGAGGCATACAATCGCAAGGCGAAGTGAGATGTCAGGGCACATTATTGATGCGTGAACAGATATTCCCCAGCCACAGGATAGGGCACAAAGTAGGACCTGGCGTGGAAATGAGAGATGACCCGATCGAGAGGAGACGGAGAAGTGGGCAAGAAATGGATGCATACACTTCACTAGAATAGACGGATGATGGATCACAGATGAATCTACACTGCAAATGGAAATCTGAGTGTACATAGAGAGTATTAGACTCTCCGCTGAAAGCCGCTCGGCAAGATACGAGAGATCACGACGGAATCACGCCCAAAAGAGATCGTGTTTCGATACAAACAAAGGCAGCAGCAGACCCTCGGCACAACACTAGAACTACAAGCGCCAGCTAACCAGACGTGGCAGTCTCAAATGAATTCAGCAACAAACGAACCACGCGACTTTGCAGTCAGTCATCAACCTGAGATAAGGCTGATGGAATAACAGGATGCGACGTGTATCGCATTGCACATGCCATTCGAAGAGATTGACATGGCAATCCCGCACTGACTTGGTCCGCAGACGGATGATCACACCACAGACTTGCCTATGAAGTTCGTGTAATCGACGATCAGCGAAAGGTCGCTCAAAACAATCAACCTCAAGGCTGAGTTCTCCCACGTCCAGTGTCCATCAGCTCGGAACGATACCGCGCGGTCTTCGTCTCACAGATGTGTCGCGTGTTGAATACTGCTAACTATTTCTGTTCTCGCACATCAAGTATCGGGTCCTCAGATCAGGTAACAAGTCCGGCGTCTTTGGGTACCGTCTGCTCTTCACTTATTTCCGGTAGCGCGTCTTTCCCTGTACGCTGACGCTGGAACAGTATGACAGCCCCAATGAGAACGGCTATAGCAGCCAGACCCCCGACACTACCTCCTGCTATTGCTCCGACGTTCGACGAAGTATCGTTCCTGTCAGGTGGCGCCGCGACATCTGAGAGAGTAGTGTCATTGCCTGGGGACGCCGAGGTTGTGGACGAAGCCGGGTAGGTCACCAAAAGCGTCTGTCAGCACCTTTCGTCTGATTGAATGGCAGATCTTCTTACCGTGGAAACCCGGAAACTTGATGTCACTGTGGCAGTACAAGCTGTCGCTGGTACAGTATCTGTTACTGCGAGCGTGATGGCCTTGGTGAGACCTAGCCCGGCCAACTGTTCTTTCCTCAACACAATCTGTCGCCCGCCCTGAAGAGCGACAGTGTTTGAGCAATCCCCACTGTTGCAACTCACTGACCACCGCAGGTGTGTAATCTCAAGAAGCTATTCGGGTCGTTGTCAGGACAGATTTTGTTGCACGGCGCTCCCCACTTAGGATCCGTACAGGAGCCCCGGACCAGCATTCCAGAGTTAAGACACAGGCCATTCTCGAGACAATAGTCATCCGCGCCACAGCAAGCTGAAGTGCCAGTCGAAGTGTCGCACGGTATGTCTTCGACGGTCGTCACGCCGTCTGCGCGGTAGCATGTCGCGACGGCCAGGTGGAAACTCCCAACGAAGCAGAATATGGACTGCAGCAGTCTGAACATTGTTGTGTGCGATAGTAGAAAATTGGTCGATTTGTTCGTTGCCCGACATTGGTGGACTGGAGTCAAAGGCTACATGTGTTCAGAATAGTGCGGAAAAGGGGTGTTGCAATTTCATTGCGCATCGCTTTCTACCTTTGGGCGCTCAACGAGCATCACAGAGTGCGGAAGTTCACAAAGCCATGATAGCAGGTCCGCCAATCGCTGATGAAGTCTCGCGACGCAGCAAGGCTGAGACAAGGCTGAAGGATGAATTTTGGAGGCTTACAAGCATTACTGGACAGGAGAGAGAGGATGGAGAGATTTGCAATGAGAGTCTTGCAGCTCTTCGACAGAAAGTTGACTGTCAAGCCAGGGACCTCTATCTGCGCCAACGACATGTTGCACGAGATGTCATAATTTCTGTGGAACTATCGTCGTTGTGTTGCAGGATGGCTGCAAAGCGCGGTCTTTGGAACAGTCAGCAGTCGTCTTGGCTCGTCGTGGTCGCTTTCCCGACTTGGGGATTGCGCCTTCCTCTACGGCTTGACCTTCTGAAAATTTGGCAACATTACTACTATCAGCGATTGCGATATCCCAACGACAGCCATGGCTTGGTCATCGCATTTCAAAGCTTACAAACTTCGAACGGTCATCCGAGGCCCTTGAGAGGTGAACGCTGCCTACAAGACGCGACGCTTCACGCTGCAATAGATCAACGAACGCACTGGCAGTGATCATTCTTCACTTACGAGACAAGACTACCTGCTTTCCGACTGAAGTGCCATCATGGTCAAACTGTTCATGTGCGTACTTTCGTGCTTTTCTAGCGCGAGTTGCGTGCCTTCCTTCCACTAACATTGCCTCTCACAACAGAACCGGAGCCACAGGCTACATTGGTGGGGATTTCCTGTACACAATCTCCCAGGCGCATTCTGAATATGCCGTTTCCGTGCTTGTTCGTCGTGAGGAGACCATCTCGAGGATCAGGAAATCGTACCCCAGTGTCGAGATTGTGGAGGGAGACCTGGACGATGGGGAGAGATTAGCAGCAGCAGCTGCTGAGGCCGATGTTGTCTTGAGTGAGTATCAATCAACGAAGCCAAGCGTGGAAACAAAACTAAGCAAAATAAATGTTTGCAGATCTCGCAGCTACGAATCACCTAGCAGGCTTCAAGGCTCTGCACAGTGGTGCTTCGAAGAGGAAACTTGGTGGGTGCAGATCACCTTTCTTGGTCCACATCCGAGACTGACTGTGCCATGATAGCCCACTTCATTCAAATCTCTGGAGCTACAATGGTTTCCCAAGACGAGATCAAATCTGGTAACTTTGGCGACGCTTCACCTCACCAATACGACGACCTCAGCGATCAGGAAGAGCTCCGTCAGATCATCCGCAAGCACGAGAATCGACTCGTAGACAACCAGTTCTTAGACTTTGCGGAGCGATCATCTTCGGTCAAAAGTGCTCTGGTTATACCATCTTTGATCTACGGCCGAGGCCGTGGCCCGATCAATCAGCGCAGTATTCAGGTGCCGGAACTGGCACGGATAGCTCTTGAGAAAAAGCACGCGGTACAGATTGGTGCCGGCGAGAACATCTGGAGCAACATACACATCTCCGATCTGAGCTCCATGTTGCTCAAGCTCGTAGAGAATGCTGTCTCTCAGGCCACTGATGACCAAGCATGGGGGCCGAATGGAATGTTTTTCGCTCGCTCAAATCCAGGCATCAGTTTTGGCCAAATCGCGAGGCTGATCTCAGACGCTGCGCAAAAGGAAGGGCTGTTCTCGGACTCGCAGATTGAGAAAATCACGGCTGCAGAAGCAGATGGTCTGTCGCCACATGCTTCAGCTATTGTGGGAACGAATGCGAGGACTTTGAGCAAGAAGGCACAGCAGGTTTTGGGCTGGAGTGCTAGTGGTTCTGGGCTCGAGGATGAGGTTTCTGCTACTGTCGTAGAGGAGGCCAGACGACTGCAGACGAGATCGTAGAGACAGAAACGTTCGTGATGAAGACAATTTGATGCGCAGTAAATGAATATGCAATTTATGCATGCATGCACTTATGCACGTGTCATGTGCAAGCTGCACGTTAGCGGGTTTGTGGAGTAGACCCCCGACAAAAATGTCGGCCATCGCCAGTTGATCACCGCAACACCGCCCATCATGATGCCCAGTAGGGGATTGCACGCCCTTCGAGGGAAGCTGCCTCGAATACATCAGTCACAGTGTCGAAATGTACACTCGTCCCATCTCGCGGAACTGCCATGCGACAACTGACACGTGCTCCAGCTCTCATCAACCAGTATACGACCCACGAGTCTCCGAATCGCATCTTCCACCTCTTCTCCCTCATCGCGCACAACGATACCCATTGCCCGTACCTCACGAGTAGCCATCCCGTCCGTCGCCGCGTTCCGCTATGCCTCAACACAGCCACCACCTCCCGCCGGGACACCACCTCCCGTCCACGAAACGACATCCTCCATCTCCAACATCGATACCATCACATTAGACGACGTCTCCGCGGCCGCTGCTGTCGACCCCAATTCGATACCCGAGCAGATTGGCTATCTGCACTCCATTGGCGTCGATTACGGCTATGGCCCAACATCCATGATCCAATGGACTCTTGAACACGCTCACGTCTGGCTGGGCTTGCCTTGGTGGGCTTCCATTCTCTTCACTGCCGCCTCTCTACGCATTGCTCTGGCGCCGTTTTTCCTCAAGATGTCCGATATGCAAGCACGCTCAACAGCTCTGGCTCCGGTACTCAAGCCATTCAACGAGAAGGTGATGGAGGAGCAGCGAAGAGGCAACACAGCAGGTGCCTTGCAAGCCTATCAGCAGATGGGCGCGATCAAAAAACGCGCTGGTATCAGCAATGTCACAATGTTCACACCCATCTTATTGCAAGGTGTGCTGGGATTTTGTGGTTACAGGCTGATGCATTACCTCGCAACCTTCCCGGTACCCGGCTTCAAGGACGGCGGCCTGCTCTGGCTACAAGATCTCACCATCACCGACGGCTATCTGCTTCTGCCACTTATCATGGCGGCCACGATGCATACCATCATCCGCCTAGGAGGCGAAGCCGGTACCGCGACCATGCCACCTGGCTTCAAGAAGTTCATGATGTGGGGAATGCCGACCATCATCTTTGCCGTCACCGCCTTCCAACCTGGCGCCGTAGCTCTGTGGTTCTGCGGATCAGGTGTAATCGGTATTCCGCAATCTCTGCTCCTCCAACGACCAGCTGTGCGAGAGTACTTTGGCCTTGCACCACTTTACAAACCCAAGCCTGGCGAGGCCGGCCCCAACATCCTCGAATCAATGATGAAACAATTTGAGCCAGCGAAAAGTGCTCCAACCTCTCCACATTCCGGCGGCAAAAATTCTGCGTACATGAGACCGCAATACCAATCTCCCAATGTGCGGACTACGGGCTCAACAACGACAATTGATACCAAACTGGTCGATAAGATAGATATGGTACAACCTAACCCGCCACCCAAGGGCGTATTTGCACGAGCGAAGGAGGGGTTCAAGCAAGGGCAAGTACTGGCGGATAAGTTGAAGCAAAGGCAGGCCACGGCAAAGGATGCACAGCAAAAAGCGGATGCGCAGAGGGCCGAATTCAAGCGACGAGCGGAGCAGTATGAGAAGAAAAGTCGGTAGAAGTGCCTTCTGATGCACAACGTTGTGCACGTGTACAAATTGATATGTAAATATATGAGAGAAGATGCCTCTTCTCTGGCGGCTTTGCATTCGTGGTAACAACTTGCATGCAAGTCAGATTGTTCAAGTTATGTACATCAGTCATCATGATGAACTCCACTATACAGTCTCGGGAGCAGCAGTAGCATCCTATGATCGAAAGAAGTGACCGCACGCCATTCATCCTTCATCAACTCATAAAAGTGCCCCTCTCTCCGTCTTCCCTCACCTCCTCCTCTCATCAAAACAAATCTCCACATCCCCCAGATCAACAGTAAAATGATCCTTCGTCTTGGTCATCAATCTCGATCCATCCTCATGCGGCGCCAATTTCATATCAAATCTTGTAACCAATTTCGCAGTCAAAGTACGGAGTTCCATCATTGCCAGATTCTTTCCAATGCAGCCCATCGGTCCCATGCTGAAAGGTGCGAAAGCGTCTTTGTGCTTGATCTTTTCTTCTTGGCTGTACCAGCGTTCGGGGATGAAGGAGTCGGGTTCGGCGTAGATGGAGGAGTCTGTGGGAAGAGGATAACAGTTAGTTGGCAGTTTTGGAAGGGGATGGTAACGGGATAGGAGAGCTTACCTCGTCCCATGACATATTGTGGTGTGAAAAAGGTGACGTTGCCGGGGATGTACACGCCGTTGACTGTAAGACCCTCTGGTGGTGTGAGACGGTTCAATCCAGATGGGACAGGAGGGTGCAAGCGGAGAGCCTCGTTGATGCAGCCGTTGAGATAGTTCGCTCCTCGAATGTTCGCCTCGGACCAGTCGCCTTGCATCAAAGGATCCAGTTCCTCGCGCAACTTCCTCTGAACTTCCTTGTCTTTGGCGATATAATAGTGCAAGCAGGTGAGAGTGCCTGCAGTGGTATCACTTCCAGCAACAATGATCAATCGAGCATCGGCTTGCAACATAGTATCCTTCTCAGGATTCTTGACGCCTTTGTATGCTTTCAACAACCAGCCCATGATATCATTCTCCCGCTTCGTCTTGCCTTCGTTCTTGACACGCCATGTCAGCTCGCTGATACAGAAGTTGACGAATTTCTGGTATCCAGCTGACAGACCAGGAATGGCTGTAAGGATGCGGAAGAACCAAGCAGGAAGACGGAATGCCAAAGGTTGCATTCCCTCGTCTAGCATTTCCAGTTCGTGAGGCTTCTCGCCCTTGTCCAGCATGCCATAGTCTCTTCCGAATGCCAACAATCCCATTGCGTCGAAGGAAAATAGGTTGAACCATTTTGTGACATTTGCTGGGCCACCGTTGTGCTCGGCGAGCTTCTGCACGAGCTTGTCGTTGAATTTCTGAATCTCAATCTCGTAGTCGCGAAGTGCCTTGTCGGAAAATGCTGGTGCCCATACGCGTCGTCGTCGATCGTGAAGACCCTTGTCGCGAGTCGTGTGCATTGATGTGAGTGGGTAATCATTGTCATACCAATTCGCCTTGGTCACTCGAGACTTGGGCCCGTACGCCATTTCCATGATATCAGGATCGGTGACGGAAATGTCATTGGAACCGACTCGCACAATCTTGCCGTGCTTCTTGTGCTGATTCTGCAGCCAGTAGTATCCATCTGAGTTGCCCAATTGTGTCGGCCACCACATGCTTGTGATTCTAGCAGGGAATGGGCCGGGAAACTTGTTCAGTGGATTGAGGAAGAGTCGGAAGTAGAGGCAGTTGGCAAAGACTCCCACAAGGAAAGCAGTGGTCAAAGTGAAGGTGGTCGAAATAGCGTCAGACACACTGTAGGAGTATGCTTTGGCCAAGGTGACTGCGAGGACGATACTGGATCCCAAGATCGTGTTGAGTATTCGCAGACCATACATGTGAACTTCAACTCGATGGAAGTACAACCAGTAGCTGGCTGAGCCAACAACCAGGCCAGCGAGGCCGCCTGTTACGGCCATGACGAAGGTGATGCTGTAGTCGTCAAGAGTGGGTGTACGGGGTGAGGTCAAGCACACTTGAGCTCGCTCGTGGCTGGCATGAGGTCCTTATACTGTGCATGGCCTTTCGTCCAACGCGTTGCTCCAGACCCCACTAAAACATCCCCGCATCTTGAAGCACACTTTCGCCATTGAATGCGGCCTAGTTTGACCTTTGCCGAACGCGTGTGGAAAGTTTACCCATGCTGGGCTGAACCTTATTACCACCATCTCGTCGGCTGCCGATGGTCTGGACAGCAGCGATGCTGCCTGTGTGGTGGAGGGCATGGAGGCGATGGAGTACTGACGTGCTTACGATCTTGATGCTGTCGCATTCGCCAGGGAATATGCTGATGTTGTAGGCGAGTTACGATAAATACAGCGCAGGAAATAGCAAAGCAGCATGTGTAACCGAAACATATCGAGCTTGTGAATAGATCGACGTTGCTTAAATAGTTTGCACAACTCTCCAGCAGAGCCTCATTGCATGTGAAAGTGTGCTCGAACTTGGTCATTTCTTTATGAACCTAAGGACCATCTTCGTGTTCCCTCAAAGCCATTAATTCTCGGGTCTTTCGCCTGGATATGTTCTTTCATGATGAGTTCTTGAGCTCCAAACGGCATGCACATCTCTGTCTCCTGCATCGTCAGCGGAATCCTCGACATCGCTTCGTTCACTCTCGCGTCCAACCCGACTTTATATCCAGGAACCAGTGCATCAGAAAAGTGTTATTCCCGGCTACGATATGTGGCGAGACAGTTCGCCATGGTGTCGTTACGCGGCAAATGCGGCTATGGCACGTTGTCGGGCCGTCGCACAGGCTGGTCCGTAGCCGCGACTTCACTGATATCCATGGCTACAGATCTTCGACCGCATGTGAACGAGCAAGCAAATCCTGGTGCTTCTGCTGGGTTCTCCGCAATGTACACCATCCCCACAAGTGACTGGCTGACTGGAACTGACAGTCTGTTGTCGAGTCGTGAATTTTCGCTTCTACGGAGGCGATTTACGAGGAAAAGTGCGGCCAATTGCTACATTTTTTTTGCGCCTATTTCGGCCGCGATGCTGTTATTGGAGTGAATGGAAATCGCAATTCGTACTGAATTCGATGTGCAGAAAGAAATGGTATGAAAAGATCTGATCCAGACAGGAGATCGGGAGTGGCCTTGCATGCTTGTCATGTGTACCTCCGCACGACCTTCGGCGATCGCGGAGCACGAAGACATATTACCCATGCTAGATCCGTCGGACATCGATTTGGAGCATTTGCAGACAAGTGATTAGTCGAGACGACCAGCTTGTATCTTCGGTCTTCGCAGCGTACCATCGGCGTTCTCAGCATAGCTTCTGCAGTGAGCCATAAAAGGCTCCGTACCCATGGCTATGTCACCACCTATGGCAACGCAATATGCACGGTCTTGGCCACACTTGGAACTCCGTTGCCATCGACAGCAAAGAGCATCCAGTAACCTGGGAGCGCGACACCTGCATCCTTTGGAATGCTCGCCTGATATCTGTTCTCGCTTCCAGTAGCCTGCAGCGGGATGCGTCTCTGATCGGTATTGACAGCGTGTGTCGAACTTCCCATTCTGATCAGTGAGAAGCTGTAGCTGCCGGCGCCTTCCATCTGAATGTCCAAGCTGCCACCAAGAGGAACCTTCGCCACGTTGCCGGCTCCATTGACAGAAGAGATGCTCGGACGCTTCGCCAGTGTGATACCGTCCGCTTCGAACAGGTAAGGAGGGCTGAACATTTGTCCGTCGAAGTGGTTAGCCGAGCATCCATTGCACAAACCACCTCCGCCAGAGAAGACAGTCGCATCAGGCATGAGGATAGCAGTCGAATGGTAGTTTCTCGGGATCATGTGTGCCCTCAGCTTCGAGAAAGACTTGGTTGCCGGATCGAAGATCTCAGGGAATAGAACAGGATTCGAGTCAGAGAAGAGCAGTGTCTGCGTCTGTCCACCGACGATGAAGACTTTACCATCAGGCAGCACAACGCCGTTCGCATATCCACGTCTGTAAGCGCCGTCCTGAATTCTCTCCACATTTACAGGCTGATTGGGCTCTCCAATCGTGATGATGTGGGCGCTGCTTGTCGACGGCGAACCATCATACGTGGGACTTCCTCCGAGTGTCAGGATCTTGCCTTGAGTGGCGTCGTACATGACGAACACTCCGCACATGCTGTCCGGATCACTGCCACGATTGCCAACACCTTTATACGAACCGGTTCCACGCGTTCCGTACCAGTTCATCGCCCGCGAAGGACCGGCTTGGAAGACACTGCCATCTTTCCAGCCGAACAGCCAAGCATGAGAGTCTGCGCGGAAGGAGCCACGACCGGTGGCCATGAGCATAGGTGCAACGGGGGCGCCTGGTAGGGCACGAGCAGTGTTGTTCACAGGATTATAGACTTCTCCATTTTTCGCACCGGCACCGCGGAAGTCGCCACCGATGGAGAAGACCAGGCCGTCGGAAGTGAGGGTCGAGGATTGATAGGCGCGAGGAATGGCCATATCGGCGGCTCTGGACCAAGTGTTGCCAATCGTATCGAAGATGCTAGTCTTCTGGTGGGTGGAGCCGCCTGTGACAATGATCTTGCCATTCGAGTTCATGGTAATCCCAGGGCAGAACATGTCGTGTTGAGTATTGGTGACAATTTGCTCGCTGACCGTCTTGGACTTCGCGTCATAAATCGCGCTATGAGTTCTGCCGTTACCTGCAAAGGTCCACCTGTTCGCCCAGCCCGCAGACCAAGCGAGGAGGTTACCGCTCTCGGGCATGAGAGCAATTGCCACTGGGATGACAGGAAATTGAATGAGGTCCCCCCATTGTCCGATGCTCTTGTATTGTGAGAAGTCCAGCTCATAGAGATTGAAGTGGTTGGTTGCACCGCAGAACTTGCCATCGTTGCCCACGCAAGGCCGATTGCACGCGGTGTTGGGCTTGCGGGTCGGATTGTTCTTGGTCGTCATACCACAGTAGCATTCTCTGCCATTCTCCACCCCGAACAGGTGAGCTTGGTATGCAGAGCAGTGGTCCTGGCACATCTGGACTGTCATGCCGGCATTTGAAAGACTGGGATAGTCGTTGAGCGCCTTTCGGTTCGCGCCCGTTGGTTCCTGCCAGCAGCCTGCTGGCTTCGCAGTGCTGGGCACAAGAGGTTCAGTCAAAAGCTCTTCTGGGCCATAGATGTTGACACGAAGTGTCGCGCCGCAGAATTCCTCGCTGTCTCCCGCACATGGTATGTTACATTGACTGAGCGGAGCACCTTTGGTTCCTGTTCCAAGCGTATCGCCGCAAAAGCACCAAGTACGGCTGACGCCGAACATCTGCGAATTGTATTGCTTGCAGTGAGTCTCGCACCGCTGCGGAGACATCTGGGCTTGGTTCAGAGGTGCGTATGTACCCAGCGACCGACCACGTGCAGTCTCCTGATAGCATCCCATAAGAACCTTTGGCTTGGGCGCATCCGGAGTGGTCTTCTGCATTGCGTAGTCCTCATTATCTGGAACGTCGCCCATCTGACATTGTCCTGTTATAAGCAGTGCCGCGAAGGGCAGAAGTCTGGTTAGAAGCATAATGAAGAATGGGTTAAATGAAATAAAGAAAGGATAAGGAATAGTTGGAAGTTGGACGAGGTGCAGCAAAAGCACTTGAGGAGTGCTGTGGCCCAAAATACATCCCGCGCAGTACCAGAGCCCTTATATGATTCTCTGTGTGTCCCGTTGATCGCGATACTGTCGCTCACTCCGCGGGACAGGCGCTGTTGATTCAAGTAGGGCAGGTCGACCACAGGTAGTGCATTCTGCAAGCCGTGGTCTTGTGCCCCAGGAGGCTCGAGTCTAAACGTATGCTGCTCGAGTAAGTGCAAAGTCAAGATACAAGCGCTTCGGGCCTATTGTAGTCGACGGTTGATAATAAGTTTGCCAATGTATGCCACGCTCGCTGGTCGAAAAGCATAACGTGAAGACGACAACGGCATGATTCGCACTGATGGCTTCTGGGTTCTTCAGGCTTCCTTCTGGGTCCAGGAAATTTCAACCTCTGCCTCAAATGCAATGCCAGACTCGTGCGCCGTAGTCCACTGCGAGTGTCGGTCTCGCAGTCTGCACAGCGATATACGGTGGCGTTAAGCTTTGTCTCCACGGTAGTGTGTCGATCCGGTAGTCATGGCCAAGCCTCGTATAGACTCGGTGTGCTAGAAAGGAGATACCAAGAAGCCACGAGGCTGTAACGAGGTGTAGCTCGCCGGTTTGTGGCAGTTGGCGCTCTGGAAATGGCACTTCTAGTCCATTTCTGGGCTATATTGCGCCTTGTGCGTCTTACCTTGTAGCCATCTATCCCAGACGGCCATCGTGACCCGCCTACTCTTGCTCCCAAGACCAGATCCCAGAGAAATCGAATCATCATAGTAACAAAGACCAGAGACTGGTCCACAGACCTCAATTCCTCGGATCTTAGGTCGCTCGGTAGACGATGCAAATCCACCGGTCTCCAGCCAAGCTCGTGATCTGTGATTTCGAATTTCTCATGACTTCGTGGACGCTCATCACCGAGGCCCTGGCCAAAAGGTCTATCCGTCCAACAAGGAGGCTTGGGAATGGAGAGACTGGCTGCGCCGCTGCGGGTCACGCAGATCTCGAGGCCATGCCAGAGCGTGAAGCGATCGACTCTGCCGGCGGCATATTGATCTCAAAGTGTTTCTAGCAGTGCGTCCACGGGTCCGCTCGACAGAAGAATGGCGTGTATTTCCGCAGGAGTGCGTGCCTACAGTGGCGGCCAGAAGACACACGTACACAGTCGTGGATGCCTGCGACAAGCAGATTGCGACGAGAATCTGGTGCCGAAAAGGCTGGGCAGTTGCGCACTGGACGCCCCCAGGCTGACCTTCTTCTTATGGGCCATTGAGCTTGTGTAGCGGTGATCTGTGTCCAAAGGTAGAGTGTAGGTGACAGTTCCAAAATCAAGTTCAGCTCGCGCTCCATCGCACTTGCAAAACCAGTGGGAAACACCCTCTCTCTTGCCAAGGCCGTCCACCACCATTTGGTGACAGGCAACGATCACACACTCAGCGACTTCGTACAAAAACATCATCCGAGCCATGTTTTCCTCGCGCGTACATCGTGTGCTTCACACGCACTCTCCGAGTCGTACCAACCGGAGAGATTCTTGCATTCTCCCCCCTGCTCCACCACGTACCAACTAGTCACAAGGTGGCCGATCCCTCCACCCAAACTTCGTCATCGTCGACACTTTTCTGTGGGTTGTGTGCTGCAACTTGAACAGGGAAATGTATTAATTTCGTGTGACTGTGATTTCCTTGACTTTGGCATATAACCACGTCTCAAGTAGTATATACTGCTGGAGAAGAATACAAGAATGAGCGAGGCCGAGACAGAGAATAGAAGCTCAGAGCAAGAGTCGAAGAACGAGCACGAACAGGGCAAGCAGTCAAAGGATAGCGAATCTTCCGATCAACGAAATCCACAAGGCACTACCACCTCAAACACCAAAGGCATGGATAAACTCCTCAACAAAGTCCCAAACATGTCCCCCGAAGGACCTCTCGGCACTCAAACAAAAGGTATATCTTTCCCATGTCACTGCCCTTCCTCACTCACCCCACTAAGCTCCTTCTCACCAACCACAGGCCCCCTCTCCGCAGTCGGCGACCCCCTAGGCCAAGTCCTAAACTACTCACTCAAACCTCTGGGCCACGTAACTGGCGCAATCGGCAACCCACATGGCGAAGCTCTCGAACGCGTCCAACGTGTGGCCCAGCACGAGGGAATTGCAGAAGGGGAGCCGAAGTACTTGCCTGATCGCGATAATGGGGAACCAGATGCGGAATTACCTGGTGGAGAGAGGATTGGAGGGAAGGAACAGACGGGGGAGAATCCGTTGGGGTTGTGAGAGCCTTGTGATGCAGTGCGAGAGGACGTCTGACCGAATTAGCGAAGGTCCCAGGATCCTTTGTTCGGGCGTGTGTGAAAATGTAGTGTAGGCATCGATGACGATGAAACGGCCTTGTTTGTACGATTAGCATGACATTAGCATCAGCATGGGAAAGCACATAAGGAAACACATCTGCGTAAATTGGCGTATTCTTTTCAATTCGAGCTGTTCCTATCGAAACTCTAACATCCGTTCAAGATGTTGCTGACTGCCGACTTCTCGGCGCTATCCATGCTCAAGCCGTAGAAGTGCTTGACTTGTGTCCAGGCACGAACGTATGTGCATCGGTAAGCAGTTCTGCTTGGGAGCCACTCAGCTGGATCTTGGTCGCCCTTTCCTTGGTTGACAGTATCGGTCACAGCCAAAAGCTGGGGACGAGTGAGACTGCAATATATCAGCAAACGAGTCCAAATTCTAGGAGATCGCAGAGACTCACTCGTTAGCGAACTGCTGTCGCTTTGCAGAGTCCCAGTTGCGAGCACCAGAGACCCACGCCTCTCTGAGTGGAACAACGTGGTCGATATCGACATCAGACGCAAGACTCCAGGTTGCACCATCGTAGTCGGAGTACCATGATCCAGAAGTCGCGCGGCACTCGCTGTCGACCACAACATTAGATCCATCACGCTTGAGCACTTCCTCGCGGGTGTTGCATCGGCCGGAGATAGTGATCCAGTGGTTGAAGAGATCGCGGTTGTATGCTGGGCTGTTGTTCTCGGCTTCTGTTGGGATCTGGCTCAAGTACGACCTGGCAGTTGCAGCAGAGACTGGAGTTGGCAGGTTGCCCCTCTTCACAACTTCGAAGTGAGATGGGGCGGCAATGGCACCGGCGGCCAGCGCGACAACGAAGACGGACTTCATCTTTTGTGATGTGAACTTGGCTGTTGAGTCTGTGTCGAAGCGAAAGTGATGCCAGCTGCCGCAAGTTTTCAAGTTACATCAAGGAGCTTTTATACGTAGCACCAGTTCAAAGGCGACGTCCGAAGTCAGCACTTGGCGACAATCACCTGTATTAGGCAGGTTGGAGTGTAGCGCTGCATTGCCTTGCGAACGTGCATAGAACAGCCGCTGCACGTGCTGACGATAAGGACTCTCGTGGTCCTGCCATTTGCAGCTAAGCAGCTGAGCGGTAGCACAGAACCCTTTGGGAGTGGTCGTAAAGGTTGCCAAGCTGCACGTATGCCGATCAAGAAAGGTGATGTCTGATTGTAGACTTCTGATTCGCCACTTTCGCTGCGACCTGTACATGCAAACTTAGCGATCTACATTCTTTATGCACCCAAGAGAATAAGTGCAGTGGTGTTTCGGGTCGGCAGCTGAAACAGGTTCCTCTCCGAGTTGAACGAATCGCCGGCCGTAGAGCGCCTGGACTATCACTGGACTCCGGAGTTGTACCACCCGTATTGCATGGCACAACACAACTCGCGTTTCTGGGCAGCACGGAAATTGCCATTGACTATTTTATCTCATGGAGCCGGTGGAAACTTGAACTGGCTTGCATAGGAATTGTCGATAGGAGGCATCGGTTGCTGACTGGATACCACCAGTTCCGGGTTGAGGAAAATGTCCCACTCGAACGGCAGCTCCATAGCCCAATCAATGTTCGGAGCGTCGGAAAGGGTGCTATGGGCACCTGTCGAAGGATAGTCGATAGGAAAAGGCGGGTTCTCTGGTATCGCGTTGAGCGCATCAAGCTCTTTTTGCTTCCGCTTCTTGGCCATATTGATAAGAGCTGTCGCTTGGGTGTATGCCTCTCGCACCATGTGCGTGTCATATACTTCTGCAATGTTGTTCATCAGGTTCATAATCTCTTGGATGTGCGAAAGGCTTCGAGGTGTGCTGACAGAAATGACGACGCAGACCAATTGAAACGGCGTGCAAATGACATTCCACCACGGGGTCCTGGTGGCTAGAAGTTTCGCTGCAGCCGGCAGTGCTGCTTTGCCAATGCCAATGACCGTGTCGGCGCGATCTTTGGCGTCAGTCAGACTCATCAACCACAATCTTCGATAGATGGCGAACGAGAGATCAGCTTTGAGGAGCGATATGAAGCTAGAGTCAGTCTGCATGGCCTCAATCTTGTCAAGAGCTTTCCCTAGAGCCGCAGGAGGATCCGGCTCACGATCTCGATCCACAAAGTCATTCGGCAAGAGATCCGCCAGCTCCACGTACTGATGTGCATAACTTCCGTTCTCAGGCGCAAACTTCTTGGTAGTCACAACATCGAAATTGACCCTCGTGCGTCCATATTCGAAGGAGAGGATCGTGTTGAGCGCACGTGCGACCCAGAACAGCCTCCGCCTGTTCTTTGCCAACTTGTGGTCATTGGTGGGGATTTGAGGATAGACGACCGCAATGGTTTGTATTTCCTTGTGCAATCCGCCGGCCTCAACTTGATGCATCGTTATGCAACTCGATATCCAAGCACCGTGTGGTCGTGAAGTAAGCCGAAGGTACAGTGTTCGGAGGATCCAGCCAGCTATATGGTTCGGAGTGGGCGAGTTGCTCACACTCCGCTCCACGAGAACTCTGCGCGCGTCGAACATGAATGCCACCTCTTTCGGATGAGGCGTGGCAGAGAAGAAAGAGCCCAAGGCAGCGACTCCGAGCAGGACACAGTCGATGTCTTTGACTCCGGCCGGATCTGCGAATCTCGGAGCCACCTGCTCCATGAAGTCTGCCTCGTCCAACAGACCAAATTGTGGCTTGACGAATTTGAAGTACGCGGCAGCTAACGTTTGGAATTCTGCCCAAGTCATGTGCTCTGTGACATTGGTTGGAGGCTCATTAGGTTCTGCTCGAATTCCAAGATGCCATGCGAAGGAGTGTAATCGAGGTATACTTTCCGACTCCAGGTCCATACCAAGGATACGGGGAAAGGCAATGGCAGAGTTCGCCCTCACAAACCGAGTTTTGACGGGGTCCAGAATGCCACGGTGATGGAACCGTGCTCCCGGAGCGGTCAATGGATGCTTCTGGAGCTGGATTATGCTGGGTGGAGTGCGTCCCATTTCTTGCACGGGAGGCGGCGGCGCCGCAACATCAGCGTCGTGCGGCATTGAAGGGCGTTTCGCCTTCTGGTCATACTCGCATTGATACTCATATCGAACGCAAGTAGCGCAAGGCAGTTTTCCGTCACACCTGCGCTTTCGCAGTCTGCATGGCGTGCAGGCGACGCGACTTCGCTGTCTGCCGACAGGTGGGGTGTGACTTTCTTCATCTTCGGGGCTCAAGGACCGCTTTGTGCCCGCAGCAATGTTCGTAGCGACACCATTCGTGCCATTTGCAGACATGGTCGTGGTACAAGGGTGGGAGAGGAAGCTGAGGAGAAAAGCGAGCGGGTATGGCGGGTATCAGCCCGACGCGTGCTTGCCCAGCGACGAAGCATGGGGTGCTGACAGAGCATGTATTCGCAACATTGTTTTGTCAGTAGCACACTTGCTGAGCTGACAGCGACTCCGATTCGCCTTTGCAGTTGTGAGACCAGCACAGCGTGGACTCATGTGCGCAAACGACCGGTCGTGCGAAGAAGGCGCGTCCATCTGCAGTGTTTTCACGCACTCCCGCTGCTTCCGATCTCGCTCACCACAGCGCTGCTTGACCGGAAATCAGTCCGACCACAACACTGTGCTCTCGGGGTGGTGAGACGAGACCGGAGCACTGTACGGAGGTAAGTATGCCATTGGAAAGACCATGTGCTACCATGGTCGAGATCGAACAGCAGGAAACTATCGAGCAAGACGAGATCGAGTATGCCACTGCGACGTCATGGAACCAGCACCTGATCACCAGATACATGCATCCGACACGGTAGCACAAAAGCTATCGATGCTTCTTTCTCGACCTGGTCTTCGTCACGAACAAACAGAACTCGACGCAGGATCCGTATAACATGTCGACTGGCGCTCTTTCGGCTCGAGAAGCAAGCATTCGCGTGCTTCAAACGGGACTGGAACATTTGTCTGAGCCACAGATCAAGACCTTCATCCAAAATGTCTACGGAGCTCTTCTGCTCTCTTCAGGTGGGCTCTTCTCTATCTTGCTAGGAGGAGGTGTTCGGGCTATCTCCGATGATAACGTGGGCATCGAGCGACTGCTGCATGGAGTCGCTTTCCCTTTCGGTCTCGTCCTCGTATACCTCGTGGGCGCGGAGCTCTTCACAGGCTACCCAATGTGGTATGCGATGACAGCATTGGAGCGCAGAGGCAGACCACTGCAGTATTTGAATGGAGCTATTGCAAGCTGGCTGGGCAATCTCGCTGGCTCTCTGATCTTTGCGGGGCTCTTCACCAAAGCCACAAGAGTTCTGGCCGAGGAGCCATGGCATACTTCCATTGTCGAACAGATTGAGAACGACATCATCAATCTACCCTGGCATGTCATTTTCATACGAGCGATCGCATGTGGCTGGCTTGTCACCATGGCCATGTTTCTGGGAACGCAGAATCAAGATGGGATCAGCAAGCTTCTGTTCTTGCATTTTCCATTCATGATCTCGGCTACTGCTCGCTTTCCACACACGGTCGAGTACATGTACTTGTCCAGTGTTGGCATCATTCTCGGCGCACCGTTGAGCTGGGCCGGCTACTTCTGGAAGTGTTTGTTACCACTGACACTGGGAAACATCGTCGGAGGCGGAGTCTTCACTGGAGCTTATCTGTGGCACATACATCTCCGGACGTCAAGCTACGGCGAGAAGTACAAAGAGGCAGAGTCTAATCCAGAGTCAAGGCCACTGCTGGATGGTGTTTGATCTGTACTGGAGAGGCTTCATTGCGTTTGTTGCGAGTTCAATGGACACCGCTGATCGGCGTACTCCTCTTTGTCAGATGCGCGCAGAATATCTGGGCTGTGAGTTTCTTGGCCGCGTGAAGCTCTGTTCATGGGTTGCGCGCGAAGCTGACTCATTTCTTGCATGGGCTTCCAGACACAAGAGCAAGAACAAGCAGAGAATATGGCGCTACGTAGATCTGGAACGTTAGCTCTCCTGTTCGCTGCAGATGCAGTGATTTTCGTCCTCAGACTTCGTTTGCGGCACGACGCGGATAGCTGGAGGGCCGTAAGAACTAGACCAGGTCGCAAAGAAACAGCTAACGAGCTACCTCCATCTGCTTCGTGGCCATGCAAGCAACACGATAGAAGAGACATATTGACAATCAATGTGCTACACACGCGTGTCCTTTCGCATGTTTGGGTCTTCCTCGCGATTGGTATGCAAGTGATCTCACGATGCTCATCGAAGCCCTGGCATTGGGCGGGAGTGGAGCCGAGCGTCCGCGATGACTTGTCATGTACATTGGTACAAGAGTTGCAGTACATTCAAAAACATTTTCTTACCCACGATGAGAGATCATTGCTGAGGGACGATTCTCGGAGACTTGACAATGAATCGAGGCTTTAGACGTAGGGTCGTCACAGTCACTCTGGTCACGCGAGTTGTCACTCAATGGCTCAAGAGTTGGGTCCACAACGCACGGACACTAATGCACTCCACAAACTAAGCAAGAACGCGGGGGAGGGGGCAGGAGCGAGACGAATCCCTGCAGATGTGAAGTCACGAGCGAGCTTCAGCGTGAACACGAGACCTATCACCACCAACCGGACCGTCAGGCCACCCCGCTCCCGCAGCATTAAACAGCTTCTTCAGCCTCTGACTCTTCCTCCTTCATCCATCCACCACAACTTCAATCCATCTCTCACCCACACAATACCGCTACAATGAGTGCAATCATGGAAGACCCCACCGACTTCGAGCCGGTGAGGGTTCTCATCACCCTCGTACGTCCTCTCAATGCGCAATGCTTCGTACGTGGAATGCTAATGGCCGCGTCAGCACGAGGGAATGGACACGTTGGATGCAATGGGTACGCGATGAAGCTGTCCTCTGACGAACAGGAACACGACTCATTGACGCGATGCAGGTCCGCTCGAGGTCTTCAGCCAGGCCCAGCACGACCCACAGAACAAAGGTATGCCGTGTCAATGCCTCGCGAGCTCCATCTCATCTGACCACGCGACCAAACAGACACCAAGGCTTTCCGCGTCATCTTCGCCGGTGCCGCCGAACACATCACCACTGCTCAGGGCGCCTCCATTCGTCCCCACATGAGCTTCGAAGAGGCTATGAAGCGTCTCGCTGAGATTGACGTCCTCGTCATCCCAGGAGGCAGCCACGAGAACGTGACCAAGACCAAGGCTCAGCCATTGCAGCTGATCAAGGCCTACACCGAGCTGCAGAAGAAGAACCCCGCCCGCGAGCGCACCCTCATGTCCGTCTGCACCGGCTCGCTCATCCTTGGCGAGGCTGGCGTCCTCGCTGGCCTGACTGCCACCACCCACCCAGACTTCATCACCAAATTCGAGATCCTCTGCTCCAACGCCGTGCAGCGCGACATGTCTGACCGCGTCGACGTTGTCGAAGAGCGCTACGTCGTCAACAACCTTCGCTACGATCTTGGCGAGAATGAAGACGAGAACCCATACATCCTGAGCAGGAAAGAGCTCAAGGAGCAGAAGCGTCGCAAGAGCTCTGGTGGCATGCCTCCAATTGAAGAGAAGAGCAACGGCACAGGCGGTCGTCGCCCATCCAACGCCCGCAAAGGCAGCATCAGTCTCAAGCAGAGCAACGCCCGCCGCGAGTCGGTCCTCAAGCGCGCCAACTTGCGTCTGGGTGGCATGCGCGTTATCACCACCTCCGGTATCTCTTCCGGTATCGATGGTGCTCTTTACATGGTCGGCGCTTTAGTGTCCGACGATGCGGCTGAGGAGGTCGCACGCAAGATGTGCTATACTTGGAAGAAGGGCATCGTCGTTGACGGTGTCGATGTTTGAATGCGTTTTAGCGATGGCGCTTTCCTGGGTTTGATGATAGGGAAAGACTTGTAAGCATAGTGACGAAGTGAAGACCAAACCGAGATGCTACCTCGAACCAAAGCGCGAAGAGCGGGATGCTCAGTTAACAATCAGATGAAAGGAAAACAGTTAGCTACGAATTGAATGATCATGCAAGCAATGTGTCTCTTTCTTCCTTGGTCGATTGTCTTGTGACTCTGCGGAGAAGCTCCTTCCTCGTCCAAGTTCAGGTCGTAGAACACAATCCGTGCAGCTTCACTTCCATTTCCAGAACTATATCACAACATGGCAGTGCAGCGATTTACGAACTCGAATGCTTCCCACATCCGTGCGGGGTTCAAAGTATGCTCCCTGGCCGATCAAGTCTTCGCCATGTGCCTTTGCCGACCGGCTATAGCACCTGCAAGACTGCAGATCGACGGCAATACCAACACAAGTACTGAAGACATCGCATGGATTAGCGAATGCTCGTGATTTTCTTTCACAATAAACATGCATGCTTTGCATGCTCCACTCCACATCGCCAACGAGTCAACTCATGAACGCGGTCGAAGCCGCCAGAGCTTCCATACAACATGGAAAAGAGCGAAACGGAATACGATGTAATCGTCGTCGGAGCGGGTGGGTCACGAGAAGTGAGAGAAGTTGCCATGGAACGATTGGACTAATGATCTGTGAATAGGCATCGGTGGCCTAAGTGCTGCGAAGACATATCTACAACTAGCGCCGCAAGCAAATGTCTTGATCTTCGAATCTGTGAGTGACAGACCTCGCGAGACCTAAAGAGAAGCACTAAACAAGAATGAAGAGACCAACTCTCGGCGGCGTCTGGTGTGAACAAAACCTCTACGAAGGCCTCAAAACCAACAACTTACTCTCAACATACGAGTTTAGCGATTGGCCTATGGATCCGAAGAAATACGATGTCCAACCTGGAAAACATATTCCCGGAAAAGTCATGTTTGAGTACTTAAACGACTATGCTCGACATTTCAACATTTTCGACAAGATCCCATTTCGAACAGAAGTTCGCGAAGTCGAGAAATTGGAAGATGGCTGGCGCCTCACTGCCGAGTCGGATGTGGGCGATAAAGATGGAGTTCTAATCCGTGTCAGCAGCCCATACAGAACGAAGAAATTGATCATGGCCACTGGACTTGCGTCGAAACCTAACCCGGTGAGAATACCTGGTGTGGAGGATTTCGATAAGCCGGTGCTGCATCATGGAGATTTGAAAGACAGGGCGCAAGAGTTGGCGAATGATCCGAATGTGAAGAAGGTGACGGTGATAGGAGCTTCCAAGATTGGATATGATGCTGTTTTTCTGTTTGCGAGTCATGGGAAGAAAGTGGATTGGATCGTGAGGAAGTCGGGAGGTGGTGCGGTGTGGATGGCGCAGCCTTGGGTTAAGATGGGGCCTTGGAAAGTTATGCTGGAGCACATTGCTTGCATGCGATTCTTTTCGTGGTTCTCACCTTGCAGCTGGGGCGACTATGATGGTTTTGGTTGGACTCGTGGGTTTCTGAACAGGACTCGGATTGGACGATGGCTGATGGATGGGCTATGGGAGGGAATCCGTTCGGATGTGATTGATCTCGCAGGCTACAGGAAGGAAAAGGCATTACAACATCTCGAACCACCTGAGTCTCTCTTCTGGTCCGGAAGAGTAGGAATCCACAACTACACTTCTGATCACCACGACCTCATCAGATCCGGCCAAGTCACTCTCCACCACAAAGACATCGCCCACCTTTCCTCCCCCGGCCGACTAACCTTCACCGACTCCTCCACCCTCTCCACCGACGCCCTCCTCGCCATAACAGGCTGGCAACTCAACCCCACAATCCAATACCTCCCACCAAACCTCTCCTCCTCCCTCGGCATCCCCAGCACGAACCCCTCCCAATCCGATCTAACCCTCTGGTCCACCCTCGAAACAAAAGCCGACGCTCAAATCCTCTCGCAATTCCCCCGTCTCGCAAACCATCCAGTCCGCAAACTCCCTTACACTCAACCGACAACACCCTACCGCCTCTACCGCGGTCTCGCCCCACCAAACCTCACATCCGCCAACGACCACTCCCTCGTCTATTTAAAAACAGTCCACTGCACATCCAACACCGTCCTCGCAGAAATCCAATCGCTCTGGACGTTCGCCTACCTGAACAATTTTCCTCTCAAAATCCCCTCTTCCTCCGAAGAAATTTATTATTCAACAGCTTTACATTCTCGTTTCGGAAAATGGAGATATCCTTGGGGATTTGCGCAGTGGTATCCGGAATTTGTGTATGATGCCGTACCGTATTTTGATATGTTGTTACATGATTTGGGATTGAGGAGGTGGGGGAAGAAGAGTTGGTGGAGGGAGGTTTGGGAGGGGTATACGATAAGGGATTATGAGGGGTTGGTGGATGAGTGGAAGGGGAAGGAAGTAGAAGTGGGACGGTGGAGGATGGGTGGTGGGGAGAAGAAGATGGAGTGATGTGACTGCTGGATTGGTTTGGTTTGGTTTGTTTGTGATATGAAAAGGGTATCTGTGGGTACTGGCAGGTGTTTGACCCAAGCAGAGAATGGAATTGGTCTATGGATGTGACTTAGCGTGTACGCTCTGCTTCTCCTGATCAGTATGGAACCTTCACTAGCAAGGTCCGTTCCGATGCTGACCATCGCGGGATCGTCCTCGGTAAGCTCGAACAAAAGGATTCGCCACCCTCAGTGTCATGTTCTTCTCCTCGTTCGTTCAGTATCTCCAACAGCAGGCCCATTTGGTTCATGCCTACGTCCTCCTCGCTGAAGTTGCAGCATATATCGCGAACGCATCTCCATACCCCATACTCCAGCTTGCCGTCCCCGAAACCCCTGTTCGCTCGTCCTCCAGGACCTTCAGGATCTTCCTCGCTTCGGCTCTAACATTCTCCATCTCTGCCGGAACACGCTGCTCCAGAACACGAACCCGCCCACAATACCAATCCAGCTGTGCTGCATTCGCTGGCACCTTCTCCTCCATGACATAGTGCCAATCAGGCGCACTTTCGTCATTCTGGAATAATCTTTGAGACTCCTCACACCACTTTCGAAGGTTGGCGTACACGTCGCTTCCGCATTTCCGCACACGCAAGACGATGAGGAGATGTTTGTTGCTGATCAATGCCTTGCGCGAAGTCTGATCGAGGCTGCTTAAGATCAGAATCAATTTGTCGAAGTTCATGTCCGTGATGCTAGCCTCTATCCTGGCTGTGGCGAGCAGGATGGACATGTATTCGCTGCGACATTTTCGCGAGGTTAGGATCAGGCCAGGAACCACAGGAGGCGTGTTCGGCCTTGGAGCGAGACGCAAAGTACAGTCGGCGACCAATTCATAGATCGTGTTCCGCAACTCCGCTGGCAGGTCGAAAAACGTCTTGCGTGATGAGGTCGTAGATTCGACAACTGGCTCTGAGCGAGGAGACTTGGATTTTCCCATCTTTCTGAGTCGGTCCAGCATTCTTTGGGAGGATGGGAATTCTCCTTGCGTCTGTAGTGGCGATGTTCCATGCATTGGTGCACAGCACCTCGCTTTTGAGATGCCGACTCCTCAGCTATAGCTCCGAGCTAAAAGCTTGTATCCGGTACTTTTCTCGGTCTCGCATTTCATCGGTCTGGACTGGTGTTAGGGCCGTAAGTCTTGCTCACATCATAGAAGAAGTGCTCACAAGCTCCGGCTTTGACACAGTCTCTCCAGGCAGCGTACAGCATTACGGTAAATGCTTCTCCTTCGGGGCTTCCCTTCGTGTATGGAGTGGCGTCGTTCCAACCGAGCGGGTTCACGACTGGACTGGCTTTGCCATTGCTCTGGATGTACATTGCAACAGTCTTGCGATTCTCGTCTGCCCATTTGAGCATCTCATCGTTGACCTATGGCAGTCAGTTTTGGCCTTGTTCGACGCTTTGTTTCAATACTCACAGGCTTCTTGATGTCAGGATGTGTGTCTCGAACCTTTTGTGCCTGTCCGTTAAAGAGAGCACTGGCCTCTTCTTGCATTACGGCGACACGATACACAGTCGCAGTCAACAACGCCGTTCCGCTGAGGTCTCCGAACCAGGTCGTGTCATTCAAATAGTTGCGCAGGAGACCGTCTTCCATAGGCGAGCTCATTGCGCCCTGAAGAATCTCACCAATCCATGTAAACAGGTCTGCTTGCGCGATTTGAGCATCGGCTTCGACGGCTGTCTTTGGCCAGTGCAACAATGTGGCCAATACACGAGCCATGCCCATAGCAGCCCACCCGTTTCCAGTCGACCAAAGTCCGAGATCCGCATTCTTGGGTCCAATGATGTGCCGCCATGTCCCCGCGCTGATCGCTACACTCGAGACGTTCGGCCGTAGTACTTGCCTGTACTTGAGACATTGCATGATGGCCATCTTGACAATTTCCACGTCGCCGACTGCCACACCGTGATACGCCATGAAAGGAGGAGCCATGTAGATAAAGTCCGCCCACAGCTCTGCGTAATCTTCTCGATGCGAAATGGCTCCATTCTCCCATTTGGGGACCTTGTTCAGATGCTCGAACTGACGAGTGGCCGCGTCGGCGAACTTTTGATCTGTCTGGCCGATCATGACTGCCGACACGCCCAGAGATGCTGGATCACCAGAAGCTCCATCTCCATCGACGAGGGTCTCGTCTGAAAGTCGAATATGTCGTTTCGCGAATGCTAGTGCCGGAACAAGGTGCGAATCTGGATCTGGGGGATTTCCGGCCGGGAACGCTTGAGGCGAGAAGACGGAGAGCCTGGGATTGTAGAGCTCCAGAAGTGCCTGGGCAACCGTTCCGTACTCCCAGCTGTGAGTCGCCTGCTGCTGTGCTCTGTTCGCCGCCGCCGCTGGGTCGAAGCCAGTATCATGATCGCAGCATGAGTCGGCGGCGACGAGTGAGATAGCCGAGAAGATCACCAGCCATGCGGAGGCGAGAAGTCCGATTGTGGGCCTCATGGCGTGACGGGTGAAGGTGAGGGAGGAGGAGCGGAGGGCGGCATACTTGAGAAGCGGTGGTGGTTACGCGATTGGAATGTAAGATGAGAAGCCAACGTCTGCTGTGCTCAAGGGCACCCCGGTCAGGCGAAGTTTGTGCACTTTGGGGATCTTCACCCAAGCTTCCATGCGCCGCCTACCGAACATGTGCAAGTGGCAGGTGATGCTCGTGCAGTGCAGCGATATGCGGTCTGGGTACACAAATGCCTACTGGAGCACTGCGTGGCGGGCGGAGGCATCAACGTGGGAACAGCAGATTGTCCATCCAAATATTGCATCTGCCTCTGGAGACGTCGCATTTCGACATGACGTCGATCGTGAAACGAAATGGATCAGATCAGCTCCCTGCGTGACCATTTCCGGTGTTCACCCTGGCCTGCTGCCATCGTTTCAGGCCAGTTTCGCAGATCATCGCCAGTCATGGTCGTGCTTTTGCTGGTCCTCCTGCCGATGCTGATCTTTCCATCGCCATGGGAGCAACCAAGCCGGGAGACAGTCCTCTCACGATGCGAGATTGCCGTTCGCATGAAGACGAGAAGGGATGTTGTCGCCATGCGTGCAGAGGAGGAAACCTCCTGAACTACATAGCTTGGCACTGCCGGCTCCACATGCTCCAGGATGGGGTGCGAGTCCTCCGGCCGATCCTGCAACTTTATCCGTCGCTCCTCTCTCGCAAGCGGCGCACTCACAGGTGAAAGCTTATTCGCGGTGCGAGCAAGAGGCGGCCAGTGAGGTGCTGGCCAGCAGTCATCATGTCTCCGAACGAACAACCCCCCAAGAGCGAGTCGCCCACATCTCGTACGTGAACAGACACGGCTTCCTCCTCGGTCATGCCCGATCAGTAGGATTGCGGTGATGATGTTGATCCCATGGCCTCGAGCTCACCTCACAACGTGCGATCATCAGTGCTCGCCAACAATGCCAAACTACGATTGCCCGCCACCACCGACCCGCCCAGCGACACGAACCCAGCAGTGCAGAAAACATGGCTGATCTTTGGTGCGACGGGGCATATTGGACGGAGTTTGGTCAAGAGCGCGTTGAGCCATGGAGACAAGGTAACGGCTGTGGGGAGGACGGGTGAGAATAGCATGCAGCAGATGCAAGGCTGGCATGAGCAATGCTTGGGCCTGCTATGCGATGTGCGTGTGAGATCAACAGTGGACGAAGTCATCCGAAAGAGCATCGAGCACTGGGGCGTCATCGACATCATTGTGAAGTATGCTTCTCACGATGAAGGCATGTCTCTTCTGCATGCTGACGAGTGACAAAGCTGCACAGGATACGGAGTAATCGGCGCCTGCGAAGACCAAGACGACTTCGATCTGCGATCCCAATTTGAAACGAACTTTCTGGGCACATTAAACATCATACAGCTCTCTTTGCCGCATCTACGAGAGCAGGCTGCGAAACGACAAGACGAGGAGAATGCCGGTCGATACATTATCTTCTCCTCAACCTCCGGAGCTCTCGGAGTGCCGGGTCTTGGACCGTATTGCGCGACCAAGTATGCCACGGAAGGTTTGATTGAGAGCATGCTGTATGAGATTGATGCGTTTGGCATCAAAGCTAGTCTGGTAGAACCGGGACACATGCGCATCGATGAGCCCACCGGCCTGGATGACAAAGCTGCAGATGAAGGATTGACGATCAAGAAGTACGGCCACTTCTTGGTGAAAACGCCATCAGCCCCATACAACACGCCTACTGCACCTGCCGGACATGCGCGACGCATTGTGCAGTGGCTCTCTGACCGGCAACCGACGAGCGCTGTGAAGTCATCTGAGCTAGTGTGGCAGCTGGGTCATTGCAAGTATCCTCCGTTACGCTTACTGCTCGGCACCTATGCCGTCGAGAGTGTACGGGATCGACTGAGAAGTGTCATTGAGGAAATTGAAGATTGGAAGCATCTACACTTCCCAAGCGCTGAGGAAGAGGCGAAAGGCAAGAATGGGAAGGAGGACGACAAGACGGAGGAGAAGGATGAGCAGGCCAAGGATGACGATGCGATGGACATTGCTGAAGACGGAGCCGAGAAGGACGAGGAGGATGAATCGTGATACTGAGGTTGCGATATCTACTTGATGCACAGTGGTGCCTGAGGCAGTCGTCCGTTCTTGGCATTCACTCGCGTGCCTTACACGTAGATTCTCGTACCTCCGTAGTTCGTTCCTTAATCAACATTGCAGTCACTATATCTCGTGTTATCTACGACTCCAAGAAATATTCAAGGCATTCCATGTCCAAGCAAGACTCATCACTGTCAGCTCTCCTTGCATGGTCTTCTCAACGAGCTGTTTCTTCTTCTCAAGCTTTCGTCTGCGACAATGCACATGTAGTGGCTATGGAATCAGCATACGCCAGCAGTCTTAACACAAGCAACAAGTCGTTTTGCTATGCTGTGCTGCGCTATGCTATCTTGTTATCGACGCACAGACCATGCACTAGCGCACACGCTATCAGTGAGTGGGGAGCTCAGCTCCAACGCAAGGGCTCAAGGCGTCAGCGCGTGAAACACAACACCGCCGCGACTGTCTCTCTGTCAACCAGCACCAGTCTTCAATTCTCTCTTCATCAAACATGGGCGGGAAAGATGATGATAGAAAAGACGCGGATGCGTGGAGCGATAAAGAATGGTTCAATAGCTGGAAAGCACAGCACGACCAACTGCTCAGCGAACTCGAAACCGAGAGCAAGCGCTTACAGCAAGACGTTTCGCGCGAAAGCAGCAGCGGTGCTGCTGGACCATTTTCTGCTTTCAAAAGATTCATTGACGACGGTTTCAGTTCCCTTTCGAGTGCTTTACAGGACTTACCTTCTACGACTGCCGAACTGAAGTCGAGGATGCAGCGAGAACAGGAACGGTGGCGAGCTGAAGAGCAGGATATCTCGGAGAGATGGACAGGGAGCACGGATTCGCCGGATCATATACAGATGGTGGCGTCTAGGAGTTCGGATCGTGAAAAGGAGGAGGTACGAGAATCGATGTTGGAATTGCTGGATACTGCGAATGAGCGGAATGCGCATATTCCACCCGCGAAGCTTGAAGCGCTATACCGTGACCAAGGTCTCGATATGGGCATTCTTGATCTTCTAGGCGACTTGTCGAATGTGTCGCTGGGCTCTTATCGCTGGTTGTCGGTGGACTGGTTCAAGCGCGATCCATATTCACCAATGAGGCTCGAAAGCCATCATGCGCTCGGAGAATATGGTGCAAAGTGGCGAGCTGCGTTTGAGGATCTCCTCGATGCTTCTTTGGACAAACCCATGGGGTCGATCGAAAGAGTAGGCATGCGTGAGCCCTTTGGGAGACATCCGCAGTCCACATACTACGGGCCTGGCTTAGACTGGATGCTCAGCTTACAGTGTCGCGGAATTTTGCCTATGCAACTCCCTCGGACATACTCAATACCTGGAATGGCTCCCGAGCTGAAAGGGTCGCGATGGACTGGAATCCTTCGCCATGAAGCTGCGTCGACAGAGAATGGGAGAACTGCAAATCCGACCATCTCAGCTGATCTTAGAGACTTGCTATCCGCTGTCGGCACAAAGGCGGCGCCAGATACTGGAGCTGACCCTTTGCCTGTGCGCATTCCTCCTGAAACAGAGCAGGACCTCTACGACTCAGAATATTTGTTCCCTGGTGTCAGTTCGAGCAGTGAAGACCACGCGATGGACGTTGCAAAACAATCCTCAGTCGAGGCCGATGGTACAGCACGAGGTCAAGACAAATCCTTCCGAGAGGCATTGATACGGCGTGGCTACGAGCTTGCGGGAGATGAATTCGAAGACTTCGCTTCAAGCTTGCCAGGAATGGATCAGCTACTCGAGAGGGTGCTCCGCCTACAACAGGAATGGGACAGCATAGAGGAGTCCACTGGTTCCGGCAAAGCCTCGCTCAAAGACCATCTCGAAGGAACAAGATCTGCAGTAGTGGAACGAGAACAACAGGGAGTTTCCCTACCCAGTCACGAGCAGCAACACACTGAACCTCAAGCAAGACGACCGGATGTTTTGTCAGCCTTGACAACGACTCATACAACTCGACTTCCGGATGGAACAGTCACGATCAAAGTTGTGCTCAAGCAGCGATTCGCTGATGGCAGAGAGGAGACAACGGAAAGTATGCACACACGAAATGAGGGCACGAACAAGTCGCAGGACGAGACGTCATCCCAGGAGAAGCCCGAGAAGAAAGGCTGGTTCTGGACATGAGCCATGATTAATTGTTCACGGATCTGTACAGTCATATACACTATATACCCACTCTCATGCGTAACTCAGCTCAGTTCAATCTAGATATGCTCTCCCGGCCTAGCCGACTCACAACATCAGCACATGCTTCTCGGATGGGAATTACAAGTCCAATACATACATACATACATCCTCTATCAATTAATCGCCTCCATCCCAAACAAATCCTTCAACCCATATCCCTTCCACACTCTACTGCCCCGGGCACTTCAAATCCCAAATCGGATCCCCCAAACCCGGCTTCACAACACTAAACGAAATCTCCTCGGGATTCTGCTTCGAATCATCCAACGTGAACCACCACGTATCGACCGGCTCCGCAAATAACGCACAACCAACTTCATCCCAGAAACGCTTCGCATTATCAACATTCGCCTTCGCGAGACCGAAATCCGGTCCTGCAACTGGCCACCCTGTCTCCGTGACTAAAACTTTCTTCCCTTGCGAGACATTCTTGGTCGTATTATAAGATTGGAAAAAGAGCTCTTTAGCTTGATCAATAGAATTGGGGACTTCTTTCTGGTAGTAAGGATAGCTGTCCATTCCGATCCAGTCACATGCTGTTGTGACGGGGTAATTTGTCTCATTGACCCAGGCAGTCCAGGTATCCACGTGGCCGATCTTGGATTTCAGATTATCGTGGCCGTTGAGTTTGTCGCGGGTTTGTTGGATGTATTTGACCAGGTCGTCGGGAGAGGCGCCGATGCCGGCTTTGTTGGCTATGCCGGTGGGGGTTATGCGGTAGAGGTCTTCGGAGCCGACGGAGATGCCGTCGATGAGGTCGATGAAGGGTTGGCCTGGAGGAGGGATGAAGTAAGCAGGAATTCATGGAAGAGCAGGTTTAGTAATCAAGGATGGGTGTCATCTTGGATACACCGCCCTTGAATACACAAGAAAGACAAGACAAGAAGTCATGAGCTGGGGAGCATCTCACCAAACTGTTCCAAAGCCCTCCTCAGCGCCTCCAATTCCTGGTTGAAAGCGTCCTGGCCCGCACTCGCCCACAGTCCCAATAGAAGACTCGTGTTTGTGGCAATTGCTGCGGGAATAGCACTGCTGGGGTCATTGGCCGTGTTCGCTTGAATCATGGTAAAGAGACGAGCAGAAGTGAAAGGTGCTGTTCCTGGCAAAGTCTTCGCTCTGTTGAACTCGGCCTCAAAGTCTTGCTGTGCTCTGGGGCCACTGGGTCCGTTTGCGCCATAGTTGAAGCCGCGTTTGCCTTGGGCGAGGACTTGCGCCGCGAGGGCGGCGGAGAGAAGGAGGAAGCGCATTGTGATGAAGGTGCTTAGCGAATGGATGGGTTAGTGAGCCCAATGAGATTCAACGAGAGTGCAAATTGTCCCGCTCCTTCCTTCCTCGCTGAAGTGAACACTTTCTGTCGTCGGAATGAACGAAGTGAGTCGGTGTCCAGAACGTGAAATTGTGAGCCCCCGGCTCGGTGGCCGGATGATGACGGGCAAGGGTGTTGGTGTCAGGCATGCCTGTCTGGTCAAAGTATAAAGGGTAAGCATGAGCCGCTCCGAAAAAGTCGTGCCACGCGTCGAGAGTTGCGTGTTGACTGACTACTTTTAGATTCGCCGCCTTGAATACTTGATCGTTCGACGTGGCAATGCCATGGTGGAGCTGCGAGCATCGATTGTCAAACATGCCTGAACGTGCTCTTCATCCGCGGACTTGACGCCGTCAAGACATGCCGTTGCTACAAATCATGGCCAGTGGCAGAAGTGTCTCGTTCGTGGAAGTCGCTGTGGGTAGGCAGGTATCGTAAGCCTTTGTTAATGCAAAGCACCTTCTTTGAGCAGTTTGTTTCACTGCAGTCGATTGTCAGAGACAGTTTTACCAGCTCGTCATGGCAAACAGGAATAAGACCAAACAGCCGAAATGGCATTGCACAATTCTTGACCTTCCAGATAGATCTCGGTCCACTCACCACCAGAACATCTCTTCTCCTCGGATCAAGCATGACCATACCGAAGAACACGAACGAGCAGGCGCTAACCTTCGCCAAGACCGTAGCTCACCTTGCGCGAGTGAACAGCGCAATCCACAGACATACGCAGAATGGTCCAGCAGATGAAGCGATCTCCACACTTGAAGCTGAGATGTACGACACGGACTCGATGCTCGCCACCGCAGAAGACGACCTGCGACTTGGTAGCCTACTTTTTACAGCGATTGACAGTGTCAGCTTGGAAGACGAGCAGATCCAACAAACCAGCAAATGTCCAACAGCATCAAGAGTTGCTGGACAAGCAACTCGAGGCATAGCTAAGAAGCCTCGTCATATCAGAGGACAAGTAGATGGTGGCAATGAGCTTGCAATATCGATCGACCCGGGACTGATGAAGGCCGCTCACGCGCTGAGTTGCTCGTTACAAAAGAAGTTTCCGCTAACGTGGCAAAAGCTGTTGGAGGATTGTTGAGGCGGCATTTTCCTGTATTAAGGTGGTTAGGTGGATGGCGCGTCCGATTTCCTGTTTGTTTGAAGAAGTGCAAGAAATGAATCGCCATGGTTTTGCCCGAAGCAACTGTATGACGAAGCAACTCCGCAGCTCGAAATCGGGTGATGCTCAGAGTGCAGACGTCGTCAGATCTTGGCAGCGCAATAATAATGTAGGAACCCAAAATGTCTGCTTTTGCTGAAGTAGGAAGTTCTTGTCTTGACAATGATTGTAGGCGGGATGTCTCGACTTTTGACTGCAAGGCGGGAAGAGCATGCTCCATTCCTTTCACAACCATTCTCTCCGTCCGAATATCCGCCCATTGGGACGCAGCGACACCGCACTCCTCATCATCCAGACTGTCTGCTCTTGGCGCAGCAAGAAGTTTGTTGAGCGCATCCAGATGTCCAACACGGATGAGATGCTCCGAACAGGCTCGGACCGCAGCGCTTGAAGACGCCGAATGACAGGCCCAAATGAGGGCTTCGCACGACCGAACACTCATCAGCTACGCAATGCGGTAGTGGTGATCAGCTTGGCTACCGGAGAGACCTCTATCCGCAGAAGGAGCAGCTCGGAAAGACGAAATACCATGGCAATTCGCCCAGACGACAAGTCTTCCTCGATGTACGGCAAACCCTGATCATTCTCCGGAGGGATAGGCTGTATTTCGCCTCAACCTTGCGCCATACCGGTCAAAGGCGAAGGGGATCGGAACAAGAGCGAGTGAGCAGAACCCAAGCAGGGAGGTTGCCCAACCCGTGCCCAAGCCTTCGTACATCTGGAGACCCTTCGTCAGTGTTGCAAGAGACATTGCAGGAGAAGCTGTCTTACCTGAACTGCAAACAGTGGAAAGATGAACGCAAACAGGTACCTCAGAAAGGTGTTCGACGACCATGCTGAGGCGCCGTATCTTGCACCATAGCAGTCTGTCAAGTACAGGCTGGCTGTTGTGAAGATCAACAGATTGCCACAGCCAAACAGCCCTTCTGCTATGACTGGTGCTATCCAGTGCACTGAGGGGCGGGCTGTCCAGCCAAAGAGAAATAGTGACGCTGGCAGCAAAGGTGCACCAATCTTTGCAATCAGCAGTCGATGCTCGGGCGGCAATTTGGAACCTCCTTCTTGTTTCAAGGCCTCCAGATCGCGTGGCCACTTGACGACTGAGATGTACAGCATGATGCAAAGCCCTACGATTGTCCCCACAAGCTGGCCAAGGTACGTCAGACCGGTGCTGCCCAGACCGAACCCATAGACATTCTGGAAGACCCAGCTGAAGGCTGCAAAGAAGGCATTGAGGAGCCCGAAGTTGAAGGCAACGTAAAGATCGAACAGAGTCACGATCACCTCTGTGCAGAGCATGTGCAGGGGTCTGACAATTGTCTTCGTTGCAAAGAACTTGATCGTTTCTATCCTCGTCTTGTTGGCATGAGGCAAGTCCGGCCCTTCGATCCCCAATGCCTTGGCTCGACGGCTCAGGATGACTGCTTTGTACGTTTCCTTCATTCCCAGTGTGAGACCCAGAACGAAAGCCATGCCGAAGAGTATGACCCATTGCGTCCAGCGCCAGGACATCTCAATGGTAACATATCCACCGATCAATGGTCCCAAAGCTGGACCGACTTGGACCATGCTGATGAACATGGCCATCGGAACAGCGCGTTTTTCCGGAGGCCAAATGTCGGAGAGTGTGCCAGTTCCAATGCTGAGGCCCGGACTCGAGAATAGCCCTGCGAAGAAGCGACATACGATCAACGAAGCGATGCCCTCGGAGAATCCGGCACCTAACGTGAAAGCTGCCGACTGAGAGAACAGGACGTTAGGTTTTTCCACGGTCACCAATGGCAGTCTCAACTTACAATGGGCAATGCCGAGAGGTACACTACTTCCCGGCCATAGGTCTCACTCAGGGGAGCTGCCAGTACGGGACCGAAACTCAAGCCCAACAAGTAAAATACGAATGGCAGCAGAGCGACTTCTCGGTTCACGCCAAAGTCTGACATGACCTCCATGTGGCCAGGAGTGTACACCGATGATCCAAAAGGGCTATCGGTCCAATTAGTTCCGCAGATGGAGACAGAACCATTGGCATGAAGGGAACACTGACCAGAGGAATGCTATGCTTGTTGGTATCAGACTGTGATACAGACGTTTCGCCAGTGACCAGTTCTGCGGATTTGCTTCATCCTGCGGGCCATCCCACTCTTTCGCACTCTTGGGAGGCGTAACTTTTTCCGAATCCCAGTCAGATCCCATTGCTATCGGCACAGCATGTATCGTTGAGTGTCCAGCTCATAAGATGGGCCACGCATAACTCAGAGTTGTTCGGGATCGTGAAAGGGATCGTCAATGTCGTCACTCAAGCAACACACGTCGACAAGATAAGATTCTGTAGCGCGTGCTTCGCGTGCAGAATGCCGTACCTTAATAATTCGCGTCCAGCGCATCTAGCGCGCATAGCACAGGCATATAGCCGTGTAATGCTATCGTATATTTCGACACATCGAGCAGCCATACACGTCATTAGATCTCACCGACCCATTGGAATTTCTGAGTGCATTGTCCAAATGCAGTGCATGTCGTTGGGATGCGTCGATTGCAGTGCGCATATCTCTTACTGTCTTTCGCAAAATTGCAAACCATTCCTTGATCGTTAGACATGTCGGACACAGAAGAACGTCTGAAAAGCCTATGGGCAGAAGTCCTTGGTCGGGGGACTACAGATCTGAACAGCGAGAGCAATTGGTTCGAAGTTGGAGGCGACAGCGTGCTCGCCATCAGGCTAGTGAATTCGGCGGGCCAAAATGGCATACATCTGTCCAACCAGGCTGTCTTCGACGCTCCCACGCTATCGGGAATGGCCAAGGCCGCAACGCAGAAAAGCGTTGGTTCGGACGGAGGAGAGCCCGACAAATCGCAAGCACTGGGAGCAGCTGGACTCATGCAGCAGTGGGACATTATCAAAACTTGCCTGGAGCAGACTGGGATCGAGAACCATGAATTGGAAGACATTGCTCCTTGTGCAGGATTTCAGGAAGAACTGATGCGTGCAACGAACGACACTGGCATCTTCATGATACAAGTGATCTTTAATGCTGGGAACGAGAAGAGCATCTCGAGAGCCAAGACGGTCATCGATCGTATTGTCCAGAGCAATAGTATCTTCCGCACAAGGGTTGTACAGCACGAACAAGACTTCTATCAGGTTGTGGTGAAGAAACCAATCGAATGGACTGAGTTCGATGGCACACTAGAAGCCTATAAAGTCCAGGATGAGGCACGCAGGATTCATTACGGTGATCCTTTGATCAGACTAGCCGTGGTACGGGATCCTCACGGTCTTTACATAGTCTGGACGAAAAGCCACGCTGCGTACGATCGCTGGAGTCGATACGAACTCATGAATGACCTCGAAGCTGGATTTCTAAACCCTGCAGCATTTCTTGAAAACTCAAAACGCCCGGACTTTCGAAGTTTTGTCGATGGTACATTGGCAGGGAATGCAGAAGAAAGCATGCAGTTCTGGCAGAATCGATTGAAAGGTGTGGAGAAGTTCGATTTATTGTTCCCGGAGAGCAAGCAACGCGACTACATGTCGTCAAAGACGGATCGATTGCGCACGCGAATCGTGGCATGTCCGAAACCCAAAGGACGAGTGGGTCTCGATGCAATCAACACGGTAGGATCTGCTCTGTTGCTTGCCAACGAGTCAGGTCTTGACGATGTTTTCTTTATGCAAGTCCGAAGCTGTCGACAACTGCCCATCGACGGCATTGACAGTATCATCGGACCTCTGTGGACGCCTTGTCCAATCAGACGGAAATTGAAAGCCGATACCACCTTGCAAAGTCTCCTTGAAGAAGTGTCGGAAGAGGCCAACCAGGCGATCCCCCATGAAGCCTTTGGCTCAATAGCAACGCTTCAACATTTTGGTCATCGACGGTTTTATCAATTCGTGACGATGATGCAGCCACCGAAGACCGCAAACTTCGATGCAGATTTGAAGACGAGAGACGAAGACGGAGAGAACTTGTCACTGAAGGTGTGCGAAACAACCCAGACTCGCAATTTCTTTGGCTTCTACCTTATGCAGAATCCCATCAAGGACGACAAACTGGAGATGTGGGTGCGATATGACGATACGTTTCTCAGCCCAGAGCGTGTAGAAGAATTGATGGACAAGTATTGCAAGGTTTTGGAGACCTTTAACAACAATGACTGGAACGAGATCACAGTTGCAGATATCTGCCCCCATATTCGCACGTCAAGCAGCCGTCAAGCACCAGAACTCGACTCAACAGATGCTCCTTCAACGCTCGCAGGAATCTTTCACCAACCTTCGAAGTCGCCAGCGCTTATCATACCGGGTGAGGAGTCTTTGACTTCCTCGCACGAAGATCTCCAGCGGGTCGTGGAAGATATGCAGAAGGAGCTTGCGAATTTTGGTGTGGCCCGTGGGTCAGCAGTTTCAATCGCTCTGCCGAACTCAATGGAGTTGATCGTTGCGTTTTGGCTGCCTCGTGGCAAGGTGCTATAGCAGCGCCTCTCAATCCAGCCTACAAGCAAGACGAGTTCGAATTTTACATTGATGATCTTGGCTCTGCGGTTGCGGTCATTCCTCGGGGCTCTTACGAAGAAGACGGCCCTGCTGTACATGCAGCGAGAAAGTACAAAGCCGCGATTGCGGAAGTATATTGGGATGCAGCTTCCAACAAAATCGTGTTCGACGTTAAAGAAAAGGGCAAACTGGAGTCCGACGATAGTGAAGAGAGAGAAGTCCTGACAGCTCAGGAAGATGATGTTGCTCTGGTATTGCACACATCTGGCACCACTGACAGGCCCAAAGCTGTGCCTCTGACGCATTCCAATCTGCTGGCCTCAATTCGCAACATCTGTCGTACCTACGCCTTGAGGCCTGACGACCGCACGATGCTCATCATGCCACTATTCCATGTACACGGTTTGCTCGCATCGTTTCTCTCTCCGCTCTATTCGGGAGGCTCAGCCGTGGTGCCTCAGCGACTGACTCCAGAATTCTGGAAATACTTTGAGGAGCATGGTGCAACATGGTACACCGCTACACCTTCCATGCATCGGGTGATCTTGTCTTTTCCCAAGCCTGTAAAGAGCGTCGTGCAGAAGATTCGTTTCATACGATCATGCAGCTCCCAATTGTCCGAGAGTTGGTTCAAATCAATGAGTGAGAGATTCGAAGGAGTTCCCATAGTGGAATCATATGCAATGACGGAAGCTAGCCATCTCATGACCTCAAACCCGTTGACCCTCGGAGAGCAGATGCCAGGCAGCGTGGGGCAAGCAGCCGAAGGCGTCGAGGTAAAGATCTTGGGCCAGGACGATGATAATGAGGTCAAGCAAGGAGAAGTCGGCGAAGTCTGCATCCAAGGCGAAAATGTGACAAAAGGATACCTTAACAACCCTGACGCGAACAAGTCCTCATTCACAGAAAGCGGCTTTTTCCGAACAGGAGATCAAGGAAAACTGGACGAGAACGGCTTCCTCTTTCTCACAGGGCGCCTGAAAGAGCTGATCAATAAAGGTGGAGAGAACATTTCCCCTGTCGAGCTCGACAACGTAATCAATAAGCACGAAGATATCGTAGAAGCTGTCAGCTTCGCTATCGACGACGAAGCTTATGACCAGGATGTAGGCTGTGCCGTGAAAGCTGCTGAAGGGAAAGACTTGAAAGAGGATGATCTGAAGAAGTGGATCGCAGAGCGAGTGGCTGCTTTCAAGGTTCCGAAGAAGATTTGGCTTACTGACGAGATACCCAAGACGGCTACTGGAAAGGTGCAGAGGAAGCTGGTGGCTGAGAAAATGGTCAATGGCTAGTTGAAGGTCAAGGACGAGACCAGTGCACGACTGCGTCTGTGCGGTTCCGTCCAGAAGTCCAGAGTGCGCTCCAAGACTCAGTTCGACACTTGCGTTGACTGATCTCACACGACGAAGCTCAGCTCACGATCACTCTAACACGGTCCATATTCCATGCCAGAGCGATGTCAGTCCTAGTGTTTCCCTCACGATGCGATGCAACGCGGACACCAGCAAAGTAGAGCCCAGGCTCCTCGTAAACATGCGAGAACTGAACACTGAGCGCCTGGCTGACTTCGAGGTCCTTCTTGGCATATTCACCAGTTCCATACGCATCCCACTCGAGCGCGACAATTTGGTCAAGACCAGTAGGAACTTCGGCCTCCACATTGAATTCGATACGTCCTCCAGATTTGACCTCAGCACGCTTCGTCCCATTCACGAGAAGCTCAACCAGCGGCTGAATGCCCTTGCGTTCGGAAGCAGCGCTCGGTATCCTGACCTGCCCATCCTCGACAGTATAGTTTGTAGGCGTCGGAGGCTCAATACCGTATTCGACCCAAGCACTCAAATCTTGCAGATGTTGCTCGTATAAACCAGTCCAGTCCACGAGCCGCTTTGTAAATGGAGCACCAAGTCTATACATGGCATGATCCGCATTCTCGCCAAAGTAGAGACGATAGTGATCTTCGATGCCTCCTTTCGCTTTGGCCACCTGTTTGGAGTACCAGTCCGCATGCCACGGAAAGGCATCAAAGTCGAGCAAATTTTGTAGAGCAATTGCCTTCATGGTGATGTTGCCTGTGTGAGTGGCACCTCCCGTGGTTGACTGAGTGATGAGCGGTCCGATCAAGATGCTACGTTGCGGGTAGAGGGGCTGGCCGGCGTCGTCTCGAAGGTAATCGAAGGCGTAGAACCCGCTCTCTTTTGGTGGGACTTGGTGCCGGTAGAATGTGTGTGCTGCGAGGTACCATCTATTGTCGACAACAACACGGGCTCCTGGCACGAGAGCCTGGAGTTTCTCATTTGTGGCACCGCGAGATGAGATGTAGACTGTGCGGGTGTCGGAATCCAGATGGCCAGAGAATGGCTGAAGTGTATTGTTGACCATGATGGAAAAGCCTAGGCCAACACTACCGGCAATGTTTTCTGGCACGTCCTCTAGGACAAACTCGGTTGTCATGCCATGATCTCCTACAGCCGTGCTTGCAATAGTGCTGTTGAACTCGACGAGAGCAGTACGAAACCTTTTTCCCAAAGCAGATTGCTCAGCGCCAGCATATCCGTCTTTCGTCCAGAAGTCGTCTGCATAAGTAGGATCCATGTCTTGAATCATGGGAATCGTGATATCCTTCATCGTCTGGAAGAGCTGAGTTCGATTCCCAACAATGGCATCCCAATCCTCCCATCCTTTCAGCGGTACACCAAGAGCTGTTACTTCTTCAAGCACAGCTTGCTCGAGATTGTCGAAGACGGACGTGAGGTCGACATTGCTGCCAGGCTGAACCGCATCAATAATCTGTGCGGACTTATTGCCAAATATCAGGCCTCCAAAAGCTCGCATACCCCAGTTGTAGGGAATTGAAATCGGTGTCGCTTGAATAAGAACAAGACACCCATCCCATACTCCAAATGTCTTTTCAGCGGCGCCAACAACTTCAAGAGACCCACCACTGCCACCATAAACATAGCCATATACCTCGTCAGCAGAAACATTGTAGTAGTCCTGAGCAATGCCACGAGCTAGCTTCGCTGTCGCTGCATCTGCGCGATATCCAATTGAGCCGGATGTCTGAACCGTGAACCCACCACTTTCCACGCCAAATGAGATGGCGTAGTCGGGAGCACTAGCGTTTTGAGATGGGTACACGAGCTGGAAGAAGCGGCCTTTCCATTGTGACTTGGGAGTAAGGTAGATCGTGAAATTTACCGCTGTGCCGTTGAAGTAGCCAGAGATGCGTTCGTGGGGGACAGGTTGAGTTTCATTGGCTTGGTTCGTGAAGGTTGGAGAAGCATATTCGGGATCGATGCAGTCCCGCGTGACGATGAGGGCCTGGCCTTCTTGGACGCACTCCACAGCAGGTTGCTGGGCAGAGACACCAAGAGCCGCAATGAAAGCTGTCAATGCAGTAAGTAGCCTGCGAGAAGTTCGTTCAGTTTTTCTTGGACTCTTGTTATGCGCAGCAACTTACCTCATGCTGAGAGCAACCACGCCGGGGTAGTGTTCTGAGTTACTTTGGTAGAAGAACCATGATTCTATCAACGCAGCCATGACTGGACTCTTTATATGCAAAGAGACGTACTTCCTTCTCAATCTAGACTCATTGACCACCTGCTAGTGCTTATGAAGATCTTGCACAAGTGCAATCTTGAGATGGTAAGATCGCCTGGCTTTGTCAGACTTGTACTTGTTAGCAACTTGGCACATTTGTGACGGACCGTACGGATGTACTTGGGAGGCTGATGCCACTTGATGGCGCCTGGGCGTGAGAGTGATATGCTTCCCCCACTTGTTCATGGGCTTGATCTTATTGCTAAGGCAATTGTATCACCGATTTTCTGACTGTGGTCATAATGAACCCGTTGTCACCATGTCATGGGTCGCCTCTTACAGTGTTGCCTGCGGTTTGGAAACTTCGTAGCAACGATATCAACAGTTCTGATGCTTTCACCGAATGCGCTCAAGACGGCTCCCGAAATGATACCTGGTTGCCAGAGTCCCTTGACCGAAGATAGGTACCAGGGTAGTGAGACTTAAGGGTGAGCCCTCGGTGCGAGTGACCTATGGCTAGGAAACTAAGGTGTCGTACTCGTACTCGTACCCGCATGTTATCTTGGCAAACTCAGGTGAGATGGAATTGTATTCCAACAAGGCGTTCAACCAAGCCATCAGGTTCTGCGGCCTACTCTGTGGTACAACAAAGAGCGAGAAACGATCAAGAAAGAGCTAGTGAAGCTCAAGTCCAAGAGCACTTGGACATGCCGCACGGGGCTTCCATGCCGCATCCCGAGTCGAAAGGATTGCAGCTCCACAGGCGGCAGTATCGTGCAGTCCAGTATTGGTTTACTTTCGATCCAGCATTATTAATTCAGTCAAAGCGATCGACACCGACCCGGTTCACTCGAGCTCTCCTCCCGAGCGCTTGTCGCCTTCTCCTTGACAATTCCAAAGCGCTCCCTTCCCCAACGAGGCGTTTCTCATCTTCCTCTGCTGTATATTTGGGGTTGTTCTCTCCAAGTTGACGCTCCAAACGCCCATTCTCCTCATCCTGCATGGCAAGGATGTCCTCATCCCCTTTTGCTCGCACCTCAGATCGAGCCTTTGTGACAGAATCGTGAGAAGAGTGTACATTGAGAGGCTCCGTCAGTGGAGGCGTAGGTCCCCTAAATGCGGCTGTCATTCGGGTAAACGAATCATGGTCTGGCGTTGATGGCTTAGAGAAGTCGACGGGGTTTCCATTCGCATCCGTAATCCTGATGGCACTACTTCTCTTTTTCGGACGGACGAAACTAGACTGGTGTGATGGTTTGGCCTCCGATGGCAGTTCAAACCCCTGAGACGCTTCTGATCTGTCATATGGCCGTATTTCAGGCTGTTGTATCCGATATGGATCATACCATCTGGAAGTGTCGTGGCCTATGTATGGATATCGTAGCCCAGAGGACGTATCAATATCGATGGGCAGTGGCAAGTCTGGAACTCGTTCTTTCAAGTGACCCGAGTCTAGATCCGGCGACGATGCCCCGGCACGACCAGCCTTTAAGTCATAATTTCGCCCCTGGTAATCTTCTTCGCCAGATACCGAATAATTTGTTCCGGGCCTAAAGCGAACAGATCGTGAAGGCATATGCGTTACGACAGTTTGATTGCTCTTCTCGCGCTTCCTTGACTCAGCATTGCTTGCACGGCTTTCGTTATATGATCTTGGAAGGCGGTATGCCCCATTGTCGGTGGTAGATGACCCCGCTGCGCCTTCAGAAACGATTTTACTATCTTTTGCGGCAGCAGCCCTTCGCTGAAATCCAATGTCCTCTATTCCATCGCCGCTTCTCGAGGCGCCGCCTACGGTGTTATGCCCCAGTCGCTGTGGATAAGCATCATCCTTTGGCGGTTGAATTCTATTCGGAGTGCGTATACGACCACCCGAGATGCCAGAATTTGTGTCCAAGCCATGCGCCGTTGTGTCCATTTCTCCAGATGCAGTCATACTCGAGGAAGAAAGCGAATTGTATGAACCATCTTCGGGGGTAGCTGTGCTTGTTGAGTTGCTCTCGTCCATGCCAATACTGTTATTGCGGTCCATTCGGTCTTTGCCTAGCAGGCTCGAGTTCTGTGCTCGCGACTTGCTACCGCCACCACGACCCCGAAAGCCCTCCGCAAGCGTCTTGAATAGATCTCCACCACCATCACGACCACTAAGCAGATCATTAATCTTAGCAGCGAGAGCATCATCCGGCTTGGGCGTGCCAAACTTATCGAACCTGCTGTCGGGATCCTCAGTCTCTACCATTGGGCTAGGGTTTGGAACATGGATCTCTTCGTCAGATAGCACATCACGTTTTTCCATGTTCGAACTGCTACTCAGTGCATGCGAAGCGCCGCGCGGCGACTTTGTGTTTAGTTTGAACGGCTGCAGTAGTGGCTGGATCTCCTGGATCACCTTGGACTTCCAATTCGGCAAAGCGTCATCTTCAATGTACGAGTAGAAGCTCAGCAGAGCTTCTTCACTGGGTATCGACCCGCCTTGAATGCATCGCTCAAAGAGCTCAACGTACGAAGCAGCCTCGGCTTTGACCCTACCGGCCTGCTGCTTTCCAAGCCCCTTGGTTTGCGCGGTAGTGAGCTTAGAGAGGACCTCGGAGGTCATGGTCCGAGTTTCGCTGTCATCAATGTGAGGTCTCAAGCGATCAATGATGGCGCCACTCGCAGGCCTGTCAACATCTTTGCTGCTGAGACAGTCTTGTATCACTTGATGCAGAGTTGCGGCAAGCTCAGCTGAACTTGAGTGCTCTTCGTTGTTGGGGTAAATGACCTGTTGCATGGTGACTGTGCATTACCTCAGCTTTTGTGTGTCTTGAATGCCGGGTGAACCGCGGTTACCTCCAAGCGCATAGATATCGCATTTCAACGTGGTTCTTCGAGGACCAGGCCCTGTGAAGTCCATTCGTTGCTCCTGATCACTCATCAATGAGAATTCATGTTTATCTTGAAGTGTCATACTGGCGCATGATAAGCCCGAGTCCCAATGTAAGTGTCAGTACCATCAGTCTCAGCCTTGGCGATTCCAAAGTCACCCAGCTTAATTCGGATGTAGCTGTCTGTCAGTTCAGCTACAAAGACTGCTTTTCCGTCAGCACGTATTGTGGTCCTCGTGATAGAGCAGCTGACCATTCGGAGGTTTAATGTCCCGGTGCAGGATAGTAATCCAGGCACTTTGTGCGTTATCTCGGCGGACGACATCTGGCAATGGCGCAACCTTCAGGAAGTCATCGGCATGGTACACGCCATGGTGAAGATACAGCAGGCCACAGGCGATCTGATACATCACGAGTACAGCTTCCCGCGTATCAAGCTTGCTTCTGTCTTTCCTACTTTGTAGGGCTTGCTCGAGGTCGCCAAATTTGCAGTACTCTGTGTACAGCTTGGCGACTTGAGAGTTTGGATTGTAGGTGAAGTCGACATAATGTATGATGTTCGGATGTTCCAGGCCCTTCAGACGTTCTCCAAGTACGTAATATTCGCCGAAGACATAGCGAGATCCATTGGCCTTTGCCGGGTTCACGCCAGCAAGTGAATACTCCTTGCAAATGTAAAGCTCCGCCTCGACTTTGGCATTCTTTCCTTTTTTCTTCCTGCGCACGCGGCGAATGGCTTTTGCTTGCTTGCCATGGTGTAACACGATTGGCTGCGGCGCGTCCTGCCAATCGTATACAGCTTGTATCTTGGCCTGCTGCGGATTCATGATGGCTCACTGATGAAAAAGTGACCATACAATTCCGAGAAGCCGCCCTGTGTCGTATCTGAAGAACGAGCGGGGCTTCTAACGCTGAGGTTACTCAAGGCTGAGGTCTTCCCACCTGACCTATACTGATTGGTACGGGGCCAAGCATGTGCATGAGCAGCTCGCTTAGACCATCTAAGCCACCAGCATGCGCGAAACAACAAAAAGAGGTAGTCAGCTCTCGTCATCGATGATTTTACAGACAGTGCCAGTGCTGTTCGCCCATCTCATACTATGGCCACCGGCCTCGAGTTTGGGGTGTTGCGCTTGCGGTGCCAGGAGTAATCGATGTGATCCTCCGCGGGGCACTGGCGCTTTGGGAGCGCATTGAGAAATTCAGGACTATGGATGAGGTTGTCAGCGGGCAAGTGAATCGCACCCTTCCATAGTGGAAGCGAACAAGGTTTGATACTAACAGTGGCATCCTCTAGCCTCCGTGAAATAGCCCTTAACCTGAGGGAAGGGCCACTGTGCGTCGGTCTAGAGAATGTCAGGCACGCTGAGAAAGATCGCTGTATCCCGGCTCAGATGCAGGAGGATCTCAAGAGACTGCTGGAAATATTCGCTGTGCAACTGGAGATAACCCAAGAAGGCCTCAGAGCTGTGGAGGATGACTTTGTTGGAAAACTTCGCTACAACCTTTCGAGGGGATCGGGCAGCAAACATCGGCTGGAAAAACAGTCCCAGACGCTCCAGAAGTCGTGCAGTACGCTCCAAGAATCTTGCAATAGGCTGCACAATCTGCGCACAAGTCAGTCGTCTTACCTCTGGACATCTGATGTACTCAAGATTACGCACGAGAGCGTCCACAACAGGCCGGTCGAGCTTTTGCCAGCATCCGATATACTTGTAGCTCGAGGAAACTACGCCACCAAGGCTGCCAAGGTGGAATGTGAGTTTGTTCTTGAGAACAAGAGACGTGAGAATGATGTGAAGCTTCTCTGTGCCAAATTGAGCTCGGAGGCGCTCCGGGGTCTTAACGGCATGCTTCCAGTGCTCGGGTATCGGCAGCCGCCATACGACGAGCCAGACGGAACCAAGGTCTTTCAGCTCATCATTGAGCTCCCGAAAAACGTTGACCGAGAAAGTCTCGAAAACAGAATGCTGTCCCATGAGCGACCTTCACTTCGTGAGCGTCTGGTGATCTGCTTGAAGACTGCAGAGGCTGTACGATCTGTGCATTCCTTGGGGCTGAAGCACAAGTCCATTCGTCCTCGAGCAATTCTCGTGCTCACCTCAATCGATCCTGGTACTGAAGAGACAAAGCTGTCTCTGCAAGACTGGTCACTCGTTCATGAGATTTCCGGCGCCACCACGCAGCTTGGAGAGACGCAGTGGCAGAGAGCGATTTACCAGCACCCTCAGCGTCAGACGCAATATGCAGAGAGTGCGTACGAACCCAAGCACGACATATACAGTCTTGGCATAAGCATTCTGCAAGTACTCCTCTGGCAGCCATTCATCGTAGAGACGGCGGATGTAACAGACAGAATCTGCGATCTATTCGAGACCTATGGCCTGGCGCGTGGCGATGAAGATGGCATTACCGACCTTCCAGAAAGGTATCGTAGCATCACCGCGAAGCTGATCAGCAAACCTTGGGCGACCAAAGAGATATGGCGCGACATTGCGGCTGGCGAGTTGCAAAGTCGGGCGCTGACCCGATTGGTAACGAGGTGTCTTGATGGCGATGAGCAAGGCGGCTTCAGAGAAGCCGTTGAAGTGGTTCGGCAGCTGCAGGCCTTAATCAAGCGTGAGGATGATGGCTCGAACGCAGCATCATACACGACTTTCCAGAATTAGCGGGAAGTGTATGAAGTTGAAGCAGCATGGTGTCAGACTTTGCTGGCCACGATTGTTGCAACTTCTTGGATTCGTCGAAGTCGATGTCAGCCGGACATGCTAGGTGGTACGTGACTGCCATGTCGATTCTCCTCGCACCTGCACACCTGAAGTCATTCGCCCGTGGTCACACCTGGGGAAAGGTAGACCAGGCCGACGGTCTCGACTCGGCAAGCGCTCGCCGAGATGTGGCAGGTTTCAGATTTGCGGGAGCGTCTTGCCTGCACTTGGCGGTGAAAACAGGGCACAGAAAAAAGGAAGGCGAAACGAATCAGTCTTGTGCAGAACAGGCACAACCGGCTGCCACGTTGACTTGCGCGCGATTGGATTTTCTCGCACATGCTGTTGAGATGCACACGCTTCGAGCCGACGTGGTGAAGGCAAAAGGTGATGGATGCTGCATCCAGGAAGCCGTTGCTTGTCTGTCGCGACGGTCCTGGGCCATCTTCGGGAGTCATTACGGCTGTTTGAGGCTCGCCGACACGGCCGCTCTCGGTGGTGGACGAGCTGACTACGCGCGCGCCAAGCGGTGTCTGAGGCTCGCAGCGGCGCAGTGGGAGGGAGAGTGCGATGGGCGGACGGGCAGATTTGGATCGCTGGTGGTCCAAAAGTGCAGCGAGAGCCGGCGACAACGTTGAGTGCCAATTTCTCGGCTCGTCGGCCGTTCCTGCGTGACACGAGGACAACGGCGAATCAGAGCGGGCAGGCGGGGATCGCGTCTTTGGCGGGCTCGACTGGGTTTAACTTAGACCCATGCAGGAACAGGTTGGGAGTCACGCTCGTGCCGTCATCGTATTTGGCTTCATCCCTGTGCACACATTATGAACGCCGCAGCCGCATCTCCCTGATCTCGACTGCATCTGCTGCTTCTTCGCCCTCACACGCTCGACGACAGGTCACCACGCTCTCTACCAGCAACCCACGCTCCTTCACCACCACCGCCACTCGTTCGCCAGGTGTTGTTTGGGACCACATTCCTTCACACACCCCCCCCCCC